TCTTGACCTTGTGATTCACCCGCCTCGGCCTCCCAAAGTGCTGGGATTACAGGCTTGAGCCACCGTGCCCGGCCTAAAATATACAATTCTTAAGAGAAAACTTTAAACTCTAATAAATAACACAGAAGAAGATGAACTGAATAAATTAGGGTATATTCCATATTGTTGGATGAAATGAGTAATTATTAAAATGATGTCAGTTCCTTCAAATTAATCTGTAAATTTAGTATAATCCCAATCAAAATCCTAGTTGGATTTTTGAAGACCTTGCTAGACTCATTTAAAAATTTATGTGGCAATAGACCTAAAACAACCTAAAAAGAAGACTAAAGAGGAGGAAATGCTCTATGTGATATTTAGATACATTACAAAATACTAAAACCAAGGTGGTATTAGCCCAAGGACAGAAAAAGATGTATGTGTGTTTACGTGTGTGTGTATATAATGACATATAATAATGGTGGCATAGCAAATCAATGGGAAAAGGAGGAATTGTTCAGTATTTGATGGTGGGAAATGTGGCTCATCACGTGGAAAATAATAAAACTACGTCCCCACGTATTACCACGTATGAGGGTGGAATCTAGATAGATTAAAACCTATTCCACCTGTTAGAATCTATTACAGCTATTAGACTGGAAAAAAATAGCAAGCTTGGCTGGACGCAGTAGCTCAAGCCAGTAATCCCAGAACTTTGAGAGTCTGAGGCGGGTGGATTGCCTGAGGTCAGGAGTTCAAGACCAGCCTGGCTAACATGGTGAAACCCTTGTCTCTACTAAAATACAAAAATTAGCCAGGCATGGTGGCAGGCACCTGTAACCCCACCTATTAGGTAGGCTAAGGCAGGAGAATTGCTTGAATCCAGGAGGTAGAGGTTGCAGTGAGCCAAGATCGTGCCACTGCATTCCATCCTGGGTAACAGAGCAAGATAATCTGTCAAAACAAAAACAAAAACAAAAACAGGCACTGTGCTGGTGACTCATGCCTGTAATCCAGCACTTTGGGAGGTGGAGGTGGGTGGATCACGAGGTCAGGAGTTGAAGAACAACCTGGCCAACATGGCAAAACCCCGTCTCTACTAAAAACGCAAAAATTAGCTGGGTGTGGTGGCGGGCACTTGTAATCTCAGCTACTTGGGAGGCTGAGGCAGGAGAATCACTTGAACCCGGGAGGCAGAGGTTGCAGTGAGCTGAGATTGTGCTATTGCACTCCAGCCTGGGAGACAAGAGCCTGGGCAACAGGAGCAAGACTCCATCTCTCAAAAAAAAAGCAAGTTAGAAAATGGCAAGTGTTGGTGAGGATGTGAGGATACAAAAATCCTCACACACGGCAAAAGCGTAGACTGCTACTGCTGTCCCAGAGAACCATCTAGAAGTAGTGGTGTTCTTAGTCAAACTAAGTATATGCACACTTTAGAATGTAATCATTTGGATGTATGTTCCAAAAGAAATCCTCACACAGGTCAATAAGGGCACATGTACAAGGATGTTCATTGAAGTAGTATTCGAGAGCTGGAGACAATCTATGCAGTGAAGGCACAGTATGGTTACCATGAGCAGATAGAAGCAATGGATTAGGTCGGGCACAGTGGCTCACGCCTGTAATCCAAGCACTTTGGAGGCCAAGGCGGGTGGATCACCTGAGGCCAGTAGTTCAAGACGAGCCTGGCCAGTATGGCGAAACCCTGTCTCTACTAAAAATACAAAAATTAGCCGGGTGTGGTGGTAGGCGCCTGTAGTCCTAGCTACTCAGGATGCTGAGGAGGGGAATGGCTTGAACCCAGGAGGCCAAGGTTGCAGTGAGCCCAGATAATGCCACTGCACTCTAGCCTGGGCAATACAGTGAGACTCCACCTCAAAAAAAAAAAAAAAAAAAAAAAAAAAAAAAAAAAAAAAAAGAAGCAATGGATTACATGTATACACAGCAATATGGGTAGAACTTAAAAACACGAGGCTGAGGCCGGGTGCAGTGGCTCACGCCTATAATCCTAGCACTTTGGGAGGCCAAGATGGGTGGATCACGAGGTCAAGAGATCGAGACTATCCTGGTCAACATGGTGAAACCCCGTCTCTACTAAAAATACAAAAATTAGCTGGGCATGGTGGCGCATGCCTGTAGTCCCAGCTACTCGGGAGGCTGAGGCAGGAGAATTGCTTGAACCCAGGAGACGGAGGTTGTGGTGAGCCAAGATCGCGCCATTGCACTCCAGCCTGGGTAACAAGAGCGAAACGCCATCTCAAAACAGCAACAACAACAACAACAACAAAAATCCAGGAGGCTGAATGAAAACAGTAGGAAACTGAAAGAGGTTTTTTTTTTTTTTTGAGACAGTCTCACTCTGTCACTCAGGTTAGAGTGTAGTGGTGCGATCTCAGCTCACTGCAACGTCTCCCTTTCAGGTTCAAGTGATTCTCATGCCTGTCTCCCCAGTAGCTGGGATTACAGGTGTGCACTATCACACATGGCTAATTTTTGCATTTTTAGTTAGACAGGGTTTTGCCATGTTGGCCAGGCTGGTCTTGAACTCCTGGCCTCAAGCAATCTGCCTGCTTTGGCCTCCCATAGTGCTGGGATTATAGGCGTGAACCACCTTGCCTGGCCAGAATGAGATATTTATGTAAAACAAAAACAAGTACAAAGTATGCCCAATAGTGAGACAATCTGATATCATGTGCCTCTTGAGGTGATATCCCCTATGTACTGTTCTTGCTGAAAATATTTATTCTGAATCTAATCCTGTGGAAAGAACAAATGAATCCATAATAGGAGACACATTACAAGACAATTGGCCTGGACTCTTCAAATGATAATGGAAGAGTTACCATGGAACTCTTGAAGACTCAATGGAAGGCTTATCTCCAACTTCTGACCTCAAGCAATTCACCTGCTCCAGACCCCAAAGTGTTGGGATTATCTTCAAAAACACAAATGTCGACCGGGCGTGGTGGCTCATGCCTGTAATCCAAGCACTTTGGAGGCCAAGGCGGGTGGATCACCTGAGGTCAGGAGTTCAAGACCAGCCTGACCAACATGGTGAAACCCTGTCTTTAAAAAACAAAAACACTGGCCGGGCGCGGTGGCTCAAGCCTGTAATCCCAGCACTTTGGGAGGCCGAGGCGGGTGGATCACGAGGTCGAGAGATCGAGACCATCCTGGTCAACATGGTGAAACCCCATCTCTACTAAAAATACAAAAAATTAGCTGGGCATGGTGGCATGTGCCTGTAATCCCAGCTACTCAGGAGGCTGAGGCAGGAGAATTGCCTGAACCCAGGAGGCGGAGGTTGCGGTGAGCCGAGATCGCGCCATTGCACTCCAGCCTGGGTAACAAGAGCGAAACTCCGTCTCAAAAAAAAAAAAAAAAAAAAAAAACAACCAAAAAACAAACAAACAAAAAAAACAAAAACAAAAAACAAAAACATAAATGTCATTTGAAACACAAAAAATATAGGAGTATTATTCTAGATTAAAATAGGTTAAAGGGTTATAACAACCAATGTAATACATAAATGCTGGGCGTGGTGGCTCATGCCTGTAATCCCTGCACTTTGGGAGGCCAAGATGGATGGATCACTTGAGGTCAGGAGTTTGAGACCAGCCTGGCCAACATGCAGAAACGCTGTTTCTACTAAAAATACAAAAATTGGCCGGGCCTGGTGGCAGGCACTTGTAATCCCAGCTAGTTGGGAGGCAGAGGCAGGAGAATTGCTTGAACCCAGGAGGTGGAGGTTGCAGTGAGCCAAGATCACATCACTGCACTCCAGCCTGGGCAACAGAGTGAGACTCCGTCTCAAAAAAAGAAATGTAATAAATAAACCTTGATTAGATCCTGGGATCAAGAAATGAAAGCAGCATTTTGGGGATAATTGGGATATTTGATAATTGGGACATATGTGATGGCAGTATGGAATCATAGTTAAAATTTCTTAGGTGTGATAATGGCATTGTGGTTATGTAGGATAATTTTTTGCAAAGTATAAGGGTATATGGGCTTTCATTATACTATTCTTTCAACTGTTCTGCATTTAGAAACAATAAAAAACAAAAATTCGGCCAGGTGCAGTGGCTCACGACCATAATCCCATCACTTTGGGAGGCTGAGGCAAGCAGATTGCTTGAACCCAGGAATTCAAGACCAGTACAAAAATCTTTAAAAATTAGCTGGGCATGGTGACGTGCACCTGTAGTCCCAGTTACTTGGGAGGCTGAGTGGGAGGACCCCTTAAACCCAGGAGGTGGGGTTTGCAGTGAGTGGAGGTCACGCACTGCACTCCAGCCTGGGTGACAGAGCAAGCTCTGCTTCAAAAAAAGAGGAGGAAATACACATAAAGCAATAATACGTATTTTGCAAGAATGCATATATACAGGCGAGCGTGGTGACTCACGCCTGTAATCCCAGCACTTTGGGAGGCCGAGGCGGGCGGATCATGAGGTCAAGAGATTGAGACCATCCTGGCCAGCATGGTGAAACCCCGTCTCTATTAAAAAAAAATAATAAAAAAAAAAGAATGCATATATACAAAAATATGCATAAAACACCTTAGAATGGCTGCCTATAGGAGGGAAATGAAAGTGGAAAGTAGAGATGAAAGAGATTAAAAAAATAACACAATCTCTCACTTAAGTAATACATATTCATCCAATACATGGAAAGCACAGAAAAGCACAAGGAAGAAAATTAAATTCACTGATAATCTCACTTTGACTTGTTAGAAATGCAAATCCTGGGCCCGAAACCAGATTTACTGAATCAAAACTCTGGGCATGAGGCCCAGTAATTGGTGTTCTAACAAGCCCTCCCAGTGATTCTGTTGCTGGCCAAAGTTAGAGAACCACTAATCTAGAGCTAACTATTATTAACATTTTGTTTCAGATTCTTGCAGACTTTAAACAAAAAAATGGAGAAGTGGCCCTCACAGGCAGAGTGCCGGAGAGCGGCAGCGGCGACCGCAGTGGTAGGAGCAGCAATTTATCCGTGTGCAGTCCCAAACTGGAAAGAAGATGCTAATTAGCGTGAAGACGCTGACTGGAAAGGAGATTGAGATTGACATTGAACCTACGGATAAGGTGGAGCCAATCAAGGAGCGTGTGGAGGAGAAAGAGGGAATCCCCCCACAACAGCAGAGGCTAATCTACAGTGGCAAACAGATGAATGATGAGAAGACAACAGCTGATTACAAGATTTTAGGTGGTTCATTCCTCCACCTCGTGTTGGCTCTGAGAGGACGAGGTGGTCTTAGGCAGTGATGGACCCTCCATTTTACCTCCTTACCCTGTCGCTCATAATGAGGCATCATATATCCTCTCACTCTCTGGGACACTAGAGCCACTGCCCCCTCCCCTGGATGCTCAGTAATGTATGTCTACTGGTGGGAGACTATGAGGACCCCAGGATGCAGTATTCCTGGCCCAGAGGGCCCTTGCTGGCTATTGGGTGTTAGTTTGCAGTCCTGTGTGCTTCCCTCTCTTACGGCTGTGTCCCTGGTTGTCAATAAAATATTTCCTGGCAAAAATAAAAAAATGAAAAAAATGAAATCTTTCAGACATACAAATAAATATAGAGAATATAACAAAAACAAACCCATGTACCTACTACATAGCTGACTTACAATGTAAACTATTAGACAAACAGTTGAAGTCCCCTGTGTATCTCTCTCTCATTCCGTTCTCTTGTTTTCTTCCTGAGAGGTAATCATTGTTCTGGATTTAGTATTTCTCTTTAAAAATTATTGTTGGCTGGGGGTGGTGGCTCACACCTGTATTCCCAGCACCTCGGTAGGCTGAGGTATGGTTGGATCATTTGACCTCAGGAGTTTGAGATTAGTCTGGGCAACATGGCGAAATCTCATCTCTTCAAAAAATACACAAATTAGCCAGGCATGGTGGTACATGTCTGTATTCCCAGGTCCTTGGGAGGCTGAGGTGGGAGGATGGCTTGAGTCAGGGAAGTGGAGGTTGTAGTGAGCAAAAGTTAAGCCACTGCACTGCAGCCTGGCCCACAGAGCAAGACCTTGTCTCAAAAAAGTTATTGTTTATATATCTGTATAATCTATAAACAGTATTGTTCGCTGTTTTCTAGATTTTAAAACTTTGTATAAATGGTTTGATATTTTATGTATCCTTCTGCAATTTGTATATATATATATTTTTTTTTTTTGAGAAATCCTGACCTCTGCCTTCCAGAGTGCTGGGATTACAGAGCCACCGCACCCGGCCTCTGCAATTTGTATTTTATCTCAGCATTGCGTTTTTGAAATTTAGCTGGGTTGATGCACGCAAAATGATTCACTCTTTTTCATTATCGTATTCTGCATAGTATTCTGTCCAATGGCAACACCATAATTTATTTATTCATTCTCCTGTTGGTGGAATTTTAGGTTGCTCACATTTTTTTTTCTCTATTACAGAGTTCTGCAATGAACATTCTTTCACATGCTTATTGAGCAAATGTGTAAAAATTTCTCTACGAGTTAAAGTTTAGGGGTGATCTCTATCTATCTATCTATATGTTAATCAATTATCTCAAATATTAGAATTGCTGGGTCCCAGGATCATCTTCAGCTATTCTGGAGACTTCCTAATTGTTTTCTGAAGTCGTAATAACTAGTTTCCACTTCTATCAAAGATTTCATTGTATTTTTTTCCTTATAGTTTGTGCATTTGGGATTTTGTTTAAAAAGTCCTTCCCTAGTCACAAGTCACAAAGATATTCTCCTGCATATATTAACTTCATAGTTTTACCTTTCACATTCACAGTCCACCCTCTTAGGTAGAATAAGTAAGGATCCAGTTTTATATTTCTTTTCATGGAGAGCCAAATTTCCCAATGCTATCTACTAAACTGTCCATTTCCCATTGATTTGTGGTGCAGGCCTGTAAACTTGCCCATTTAACAAACATTTGTTGGCCGGGCGTGGTGGCTCACGCCTGTAATCTCAGCACTTTGGGAGGCCGAGGCGGGCGGATCACCTGAGGTCAGGAGTTCAAGACCAGCCTGGCCAACATGGGGAAACCCTGTCTTTAAAACAAACAAACAAAAATTTGTTGAAGCCTTCCTTCTACCCGTCTTGTGCTGGGTCTTGTTGAAGGCTTGAAGATACATGGCCCCTGCTCTTAGGGAGTTCACCCTCGTGTGGAGACACAGCCACATAAACAAGTACAGTATTAAGTGGTAAGTGCTAGCTTAGCTGTATAGGCAAGGTGCTGTGGGTTTCTAACTCATCTGGGAAAGTCAGGGCAGGTTTCATAGAAGTGACAAGAGTTAGGTCTTAAGGAAGCGGAACAAATTTGCTAATGCAGGGGTAAATGTGAAGGTGGTCAGGGCTGGTTGGGGTCCAGCGGAATTTCATGTGTCTCTAGGATGAGAGGTTAGAAACCCTCCAACGATGTAGAGAGGTAGTGAGTCCTCTTTATGTAAGGGGTAAAGGGATAGAGGGAGTCCTTTTCAGCCCATCCATGCTTGAAGTGGAGAAAGAATCCCACCCTCACAGGCAGAGTCCCACCTACTCTGTGCCCCACCCCAGGGTTGAGGTTTGAGGAAGAGGGGCTGAAATTAAACCATTAGGCAAGAGGCATTTCAGACTAATATTTACTGTTTTCTGGGGAGACCTTACTTCCCGGCTAACTCCTTGAGATGGTTTCAGAAACCCTTACTTGCTCCAGTCCAGAGATATAAATTCATTCCCTTCTGCAGACGCTGCTCCGTGATTGAGGGAAGGATGGAGTAGGAGGGGAAGAAGGCAAACGGGTGGGAGAGGCTTCTAGTTGTTCTGGCTCCTGCTCCATATCGGGTTGGGTCTGGCCATAGATCTGAACTTACGCATAAAGAGCTGGGAGTGCTCAGGCAGTGTCTGGGGCCCAAGGACCCGGGAAGGTCATTGGGAACAGCTAACCATTCACTTTAGGTGGGGAATACTCGGCCAGACATGTGACCCAGGCGGCCATTTTCTTACACCCTGCTGACGCCATCTTCCAGGCAGACAAAGACACCATCCCCCACCCTTGTTTGATTCGGGCATGTTGACTGCCTGGTTACTGAGGTTTCGGAGTATGCATATTTAACGCCAAACAGACCCCCGCAGACAAAATTTTGACTTGCAAGTAGGGTATATGACCGTACCAGTCGACCCGCCGCTTCTTCCTGTCACTTCGCTGTCCTCCCTCTACCTCCTCCGCTATTTCCTTACCTACGGGGCAGCCAGGAGGCGGGGCCAGCGTAGCAGCGAGGAAGGGACCGGCGGGCGCGAGCTGTCAGTCAGAAGCCCGCCCCCCGCGGAGAACGCACAGTGGGCGGAGTCGGGCGCCGCCGGTCTGGGATCCGGAAGTCTGAGCCTAGCTGCGCGTGAGCATTTGCTCGCCCAAGCGAGTTGTCGTGTGGCTGTCTCTTCTCACATCCCCGCCGGAAGTATAGGTAAGAAACTACTCTCATTTTCTCACGGTGTGCGCTCACCTAGACGACCGGCAGTTAGGATCCTCCATTGAAGGTGAAACCACAGATGCCCACCAGCCTGGAATAGAGAGGTAAACAGCCGGATCTCTTCTAGGCTACAAGGGCCCAGAAGAGAGCAGGGATCGCAGCACACGTGGAGAGGCGCCGAATTGCCTTTTCGCGGGGTGGAGTTCTCGGGGAGAGGGGCATTGCCCCATCCCATCTAGAAAGGTGTAAATCCGGGACACATTGTGTAGTAGAGAGGCACAAACCTCACTTGCGTGATGAAGCGTTGATCGTCCTCAAGATAGTGAGGCTCCAATCTGCATTCACCCTGTATACACAGGATTCGACTCACCGAAGGCATGGGGGGCATCCACCCCAATCTTATGTATAGAGACATCTCCTTCCACTCAGCTGAGCACTGCAAACTTCTCCCGGTTTAAGGCACTTCCTCGGCTTGGCTCTAGACAGCCGCCTCGAGGCACCTCTGACCTCTGGACAGACCGAGGCTTTGATGTATCTGTCCCCCTACCAGTATAGAGGAGCTTAGAAACATTTTATATACAGGGGGAGGGCAGCTCCTCCCCATTCGTGTAGACCTAGAGCCCTCAGTATCACTCCCAACTCACCTATCCCGAGTGGTTGCAGATACATGCCTCAGCCTGTGGACCACTAAGCCAATTGCCTCCTCCTCTTAGGTTAGAGTGAGTCCCTACTGTGGAAAATCAGACCTGATCCCTACCTCCATAGCCCTCGTTTTACCGAACGTGTATTTTTTTTTTTTTTTTTTGAGAGGGAGTCTCGCACTGTTGCCCAGGTTGTAGTGTAGTGGCGCGATCTCGGCTCACTGCAGCCTCCACCTCCTAGGTTCAAGCAATTCTCCTGTCTCAGCTTCCTGAGTGAGTGGGACTGCAGGCGTGCGCCATCACGCCTAGCTAATTTTTTTGTATTTTTAGAGAGACGGGGTTTCACTGTGTTGGCCAGGATGGTCTGGATCTCCTGACCTCTTGACCCCCCCCCCACCCGCCTTGGCCTCCCAAAGTGCTGGGATTGCAAGCGTGAGCCACCGTGCCCGTCCCTGAATGTGTAATTTTTTGAGGCACCCAAAGTGCTTTGAAGCAAGCAGGAACAGACCTTAATCCATGAAGAGAGAGTTAGGTCTGCCCCTTGAGGTGCCATGGGGGTAGAGGGGTTCAGATGTGTTCCTCTCCCTTTGACATAGACACAGATCATCCCCCTACCTCTCCCAAGGATTTAGAATCACTAAATGTAGCAAGTGAGATACCGAACAGGAGCAGAGATGCAGGCCCCCCTCCCTGTAATGTTGAGAGGCAGTGATACCATTCATTACCTGGCAGTGCAGTGCATATGGTCTCTCCCCTTCACCCAACGTAGTGGAACTCAGATCTGTTTCTCTCCACCCAGGGTAGAATCACTGACCCCCCCCCTCCTGCCCCCAAGTATTAGGGCTGATCTATGAATTTATAGCTGTATTGCCTGCCCTCTCCACACATCACCCATGCAGAGAACCAGAGGCCCTGTTTCTTTCAGTGTTAGTGTGCTGCTGACTTCAATCAGCATAAAAGATGAAAGTTGTCACAGTCTACTTCCCACAGAAGGGTCCAGAATAACTCACTGCAGGTAAGGTGCAGACCCACTTATTCAAAGCTGCATAGTTGTGGTGTCAGGCATATCGATCCTGCCCTACAGCCCTCTCCAGGGTAGAGAGACCCAGGACCCATCCCCACAATCTAGAGATAAACAGATCTGTGGTTCTTTTCCGGTGTAGCAGAAATGCACACAGCCACTTTGTGAGTTTCTCCAGTTTCTCTGTACCCCAGAGTAGAAGGACAGATGGTAATCCCCCCAACCCAAATCACCAAGGTATAGACCCCAGGCATACGCAGGCACAGATTTTTACCCCTTCCTCCAAGATTTTGTACTTATCTCAGTCCCTATAGACACGCAGGTAACAATCCCTGTTCTCAGGCCCGCTTTCCCCAGGGTAGACTCCTGGGATCTATTTACCCCCTTCCCCACCATCTCTCCTAGGTAGATGAGATACGGAATTCCCTACTTGGGAAAAGAGGCACTATTATTGGCCCATATAGAAATGGACCATCCTTGCATGCCTCTTTCCCCTCAGTGTGAAGGGGTTTAGCACTAGTTTCCTACCTAGGGTATAACACTACAGTGTGGAGGAATACGGACCAAAGGCCCCATCTGATGCATTGAGGCACTGACTCCACCCAGGATGAGGTTGAGACCTATCCCTCCCTTTGGGTAGTGTGACATTCTCTTCCCTGTGTGGACTCAGCCATATGAGACTCTAGCTCCAGCTTCTCCCAGTTTTCCTAATTATGATGGCTTCCTCATAATGTTCTTTAACATTTTACCTTTAGGGGACTTAGGCAGAGGCTTATGGCATTGTGGTTCCCCGCTGTCTTCAAATTGCTTCTTCTCCTATTCTGACAGGAAGAGAGCAAGCAGATTTGAACCTATCTGCTTTCAAGCTGGTCATCACGATGAAACTTAGACACAGTGAGTTTCCTTTACCACCACTCTCAATCCTGTGCTTTTAATGAATGTTCATAGAATTTCACAGTAACTTTTTCTTTTTTTGTTTTGAAACAGAGTCTTGCTCTGTCGCCCAGGCTGGAGTGCAGTGGTGCGATCTCAGCTCACTGCAACCTCCACCTCCTGGGTTCAAGTGATTTTCCAGCCTCAGCTTCTCGAGCAACTGGGATTACAGGTGCCCACCACCACACCTGGCTAATTTTTGTATATTTTTTTTTTTTTTTTTTTTTTTTGAGACGGAGTTTCACTCTTGTTACCCAGGCTGGAGTGCAGTGGCGCGATCTCGGCTCACCACAACCTCCGCCTCCTGGGTTCAGGCAATTCTCCCGCCTCAGCCTCCTGAGTAGCTGGGATTACAGGCACGCACCACCATGCCCAGCTAATTTTTGTATTTTTAGTAGAGACGGGGTTTCACCATGTTGACCAGGATGGTCTCGATCTCTTGACCTCGTGATCCACCCGCCTCGGCCTCCCAAAGTGCTGGGATTACAGGCTTGAGCCACCGCGCCTGGCCAATTTTTGTATTTTTAGTAGAGACAGGGTTTCACCATGTTGGCCAGGCTGGTTTTGAACTCCTGACCTCGGGTGATCCTCCTGCTTTGGCCTTCCAAAGTGCTGGGATTACAGGCATGAGCCACTGCTCCCAGACTATTTTTTATTTTTTACTTAAAAGAAATTTTTTTTTTGAGATGAAGTTTTGCTCTGTCCCCCAGGCTGGAGTGCAGTGGTGCCATCTTGGCTCACTGCAACCTTCGCCTCCTGGGTTCAAGAGATTATCCTGCCTCAGCCTCCTGAGTAGCTGGAATTACAGATGCCCACCACCACGCCTGGCTAATTTTTGTGTTTTTAGTAGAGACGGGGTTTCACCATGTTGGCCAGGATGGTCTTGAACTCGTGGCCTCAAGTGATCTGCCCACCTCAGCCTCCCAAAGTGCTGTGTTTATATAGGTATGAGCCACCACACCCGGCCTAGTTTTTTTTTTTTTTTTTTTTTTTTTTTTTTGATACGGAGTCTTGCTCTTTTGCCTAGGCTGGAGTGCAGTGGCATAATCTCTGCTCACTGCAACCTCCGACTCCTGGTCTCAAGTGATTCTCCTGCTTCAGCCTCATGAGTAGTTGGGATTACTACTACTAGTAGGTGTGTACCAGCAATGCCCAGCTAATTTTTTTGTATTTTTAGTAGAGACGTGGTTTCACCATGTTGGCCAGGCTGGTCTCCAACTCTTGACCTCAAGGGATTCCCCTCTTTCGGCCTCCCAAAGTCCTGGGATTACAGGCATGAGCCACTGTGCTGGGCCACTGTTGTTTATTTTTGAGTGGCTATTTTAAGAGGGGAATGTTTTATCACTTAAAAAGTTTACAGCTGTTGGTGTTGGTGGCACAAGTCTATAATCCATGGAACTTGCCTGCCTGCCTGCCTGTCTACCTGCTGGTCAGTGAGTTGCCAAATGCTGATAAAGATGTCACAGTTGGGCAATGAGAGGGGCAAAGCAATTGTGGCTTTGTGCAGGAGCGCAATTGTAACAACAGACTGCGGAATGTTAGCTGGACAGGGAGAGAAGAAGGATAGTTGACAAATAAAGAATCGAGTAGAAGGTTCAAGTCTCTAGGAGGTTGGACAAATGAGCTTGAAGATAGGAGAGAGGGGTGTCTGAGACTGCTTTCAGCAGTCCAAGCAGTTACAGGTGGTTCCCCTGTAGGTGTAACCATAGAAATGGGTGGGTAAGTAGCTGTGATTGAGTGGAGATCCCTGGAGGTGAAGATGTCAAGGAAGTGGGAAACCTAGATTGTTGGAAGGGTTGTCCAGTGATCTCCAAAGTCACCCAGGTTGTTGGTGGCAGGAGTTGGTCAAAGAGAAGCAATGAGCCAGGTACTTCAATAGATGAGGGAAAGTAAGTCATAGATGCCAGACATACATAGCAGCCTAGTTGGGGCCTCAAAAAGAGCAGGGTTTTTATTCTATTCCCTTCCACCCATTTTTGAGATGGAGTCTCACTCTGTCACCCAGGCTGGAGTTCAGTGGCGCTCATTGCAGCCTCAACCTCCTGGGCCCAAGCTATCCTCCTGCCTCAGCCTTCTGAGTAGTTGGGACTATAGGCATTTGCCACTTTGCCCCACTAGGGTTTTTTTTTTTTTTTTTTTTTTTTTCAGTAGAGATGAGGGTTTTTCTATGTTGCCCAGGCTGATCTTGAACTACTGAGCTCAAGCAATCCTCCTACTTTGGCTTCCCAAAGTGCTGGGATTACAGGCATGAGTCACTATGCCTTTTTTTTTTTAAATCCTTTTTAACGAGAGGCAAAAATAGTCTTAGCTTGGAAGTGGTGAGTCTGGAGGACTATGTTCTCTACCTACGGACCCCAGGATAAACATGTGCCAGAGAAAACAACTGCCACCTTTTGAGAGGCCTGCAAGTGAAGCATTGTCCTTGGGAGAGCCAAGTCTCAAGGCAGGAGCTTGGGGAAGTGATCCCAGGGAGAGGTTGTTAGGGGAGTGCTGATCACCCAGGTTGGAGTTTCAGATGATGTTGTGGGAAGTTTGATGCTAGGGCAGAGGAAGGATGAGGGGGATGAAGTCAGTGGGTGTACAGGGACATCTGTGGGTGAGAGTATGGGAGACGAGGGATTAATGAATACAGAGATTTGCTTTTGAGTACTCATGTGAGAAATAGTGATTTTTGGGGCCTAGATGATGTTGGTGGATGCAGACATTGAGGCTCAGAGAGGTTTTAAAAAATTCTTCAAGGTCGGCCAGGTGCGGTGGCTCACGTCTATAATCCCAGGACTTTGGGAGGCCGAGGCGGGTGGATCATGAGGTCAAGAGATCGAGACCATCCTCGTCAACATGGTGAAACCCCGTCTCTACTAAAAATACAAAAATTAGCTGGGTATGGTGGTGCACGCTTGTAGTCCCAGCTACTCAGGAGGCTGAGGTGGAAGAATTGTTTGAACCCAGGAGGCAGAGGTTGCGGTGAGCTGAGGTTGCGGTGAGCCGAGGTTGCGGTGAGCCGAGATTGCGCCACTGCACTCCAGCCTGGGTAACCAGAGCGAAACTCTGTCTCAAAAAAAAAAAAAAAAAAAAATTCTTCAAGGTCATATAGCTAGGTTGTTGTTGAGCCAGAGTAAGAATGTCTGCTGGTTATAAAATGGTAGCTATTTTCTCTCTGGAGTTGTTGAAAAACCTATGAGCAGAGGCTCCTGAGTGCTGGGAGGGATGACTGACTGCACCCTCTTCTCCATTTCCCTTCCTCCCTTCTCTTCCCCCCTCTGAAGTACATGCATTTTCTTTCCAAGTGATGTATTTTCTTTCATTGTGTGTTTGTATCCATTACAGGCACTCAGTTTCCAGGGAAGTTAGGCAGATGGAAATTGTTGAGTAAAATGCCCAGACCTGGTTCATTCCAAACCTCACTTTTTTTTTTTTTTTTTTTTTTTTGTTGCAACACGAGTACTTTAGAAGGGAGACTCGGGGTCTGTTTTGTGTTTATTTAAACTGTGTTTATTTAAATTCGACCCATTCACATTTGTTATGAGACGTTTATGTCTGGTCAGTTTCTACCATCTTATTTTATATTTGTTATTTATTTTGTTTCCTCTTATTCCCTTATTTATTTATGTTTTGCTAACCTGACGAAGTTTTTAAACAATCCTCCATCAGTAATTAAAGTTATGTTAGTAATTGCATTCATATTTATATCAAACATAATTAATTCTGTATTTCTCTATCACTTTACCAAAGTTAAATAATGACCATTTTGTAACCTACCCGAAACCTTTAGCATGCTTTCATGCTTTTGCTTTTCCAACCCCCATTACTTGATTCCTGGATTATGTTGAAATAGTTTGGTATTTCAGTTCTGAGCTATTTCCTTATGATACGCTTCTTGGATTTTATGAATCCTTTTTTTGTTGTTTATTCGAGGCAGGGTCTCACTCTGTTGCCCAGGCTGGAGTGCAACACTGTGATCACGGCTCACTGCAACCTCCGCCTCCTGGGTTCAAGTGATCTTCCTGACTCAGCCTCCTGAGGAGCTGGGACAACAGGCGTGAGCCATCACACCTGGCTATTTTTTTTTTTTTTCTTTTGAGACAGAGTCTCACTCTGTCTCCCAGGCTGGAGTGCAATGATGTGATCTCAGCTCACTGCAACCTCCACTTCCCAGGTTCAAGCAATTCTTCTGCCTCAGCCTCCCGAGTAGCTGAGATTACAGCTGCGTGCCAACACGCCGGCTTATTTTTGTATTTTTAGTAGAGATGGGGTTTCACCATGTTGGCCAGGCTGGCCTTGAACTGCCAACCTCAAGTGATCCATCTGCCTAGCCTCCCAAAGTGTTGGGATTACAGGTGTGAGCCACTGCTCCGATCCCCGGCTGATTTTCCCATTTTCTTGTAGAGACAGGATTTCATCATGCTGCCCAGACTGGTCTTAAACTACTGAGCTTAAACGATCCATCTGCCTCGGCCTCCCAAAGTGCTGGGATTATAGGCATGAGCTGCCACGACTGGCCCTTAGAATCCTTTCTTAATATATCTTCCAGTTCTTAGCCACATGACATCTTTCATTTTTAGATTCAGTGATTTTTTTTTTCTGCCATATGCAGCTCTTGAGGCTGCCCTGCATGCTAGGAAACACCGCTTGTACAGCAGTGCCAGCCTTCCAGGTGAGCCGCCCTTCCTAGGGCAGGGTTGCCTAGAGGTGCTTTTGTGTGAAATTTTTTTTTTTTTTTTTTTTTTTGAGATGGAGTCTTGCTCTGCTGCCAGGCTGGAGTGCAGTGGCGCCATCTCGGCTCACTGCAACTTCCACCTCCCCCGGGTTCAAGTGATTCTCCTGCCTCAGCCTTCCAAGTAGCTGGGACTACAGGCATGTGCCACCATGCCCAGCTAATTTTTTTTTTTGTATTTTTAGTAGAGACAGGGTTTCACCATGTTGACCAAGATGGTCTCAGTCTCTTGACTTTGTTATCTGCCTTCCTCGGCCTCCCAAGGTGCTGGCATTACAGGCGTGAGCCACTGCACCACCTGGCCTCTTTTTTTTTTTTTTTTTTTTTTTGTCACCCAGACTGGAGTGCAGTGACGCCATCTTGGCTCACTGCAGCCTCTACCTCCCAGGTTCAAGTGATTTTCCCGCCTCAGCCTCCTGAGTAGCTGGGATTATTACAGTCATGCACCACCACACCTGGCTAAGTTTTGTAATTTTTTTTTTTTTTTTTGAGATGGAGTTTCACTCTTGTTACCCAGGCTGGAGTGCAATGGCACGATCTTGGCTCACCGCAACCTCCACCTCCTGGGTTCAGGCAATTCTCCTGCCTCAGCCTCCTGAGTAGCTGGGATTACAGGCACGCGCCACCATGCCCAGCTAATTTTTTGTATTTTTAGTAGAGACGGGGTTTCACCATGTTGACCGGGATGGTCTCGATCTCTTGACCTCGTGATCCACCTGCCTTGGCCTCCCAAAGTGCTGGGATTACAGGCTTGAGCCACCACGCCCAGCCTAATTTTTGTATTTTTAATAGAGATGGGGTTTCACCATGTTGGCCAGGCTGGACTTGAACTTATGACTTCAAGTGATCCACCCGCCTCAGCCTCCCAAAGTGCTGGGATTACATCTGTGAGCCATCGCTCTTGGCCTCAGTGATAAGTTTTAGTAGATTTCCTGCCCACCACTATTTGTTTTCTTTAGCTTGGGATCTTTGTTCTGATTTAATTTTTATTTTGCCAGTAGTTTTATCCAAAAGGAAACACAGGGCAGGGTGTGGTGGCTCATGCCTGTAATCCCAACACTTTGGGAGGCTGAGGCAAGCCAGTGACTTGTGGTCAGGAGTTTGAGACCAGTCTGGCCAACATGGTGAAACCCTGTCTCTACTAAAAATATAAAAATTAGCTGGGCATGGTGTTGTGCGTTTGTAATCCCAGCTACTCTGGAGGCTGAGGCAGGAGATTTCCTTGAACTCAGGAGGCAGAGGTTGTAGTGAGCTGAGATTGTACTACTGCACTCCAGCCTGGGTAACAGAGTGAGACTCTCTCAAAAAAAAAGGAAACACAGGTGGCAATCTTTGCTCACCTGAAAATGTCTTTTTCTTTTTTATTTAGTTAAAAAAAATTAAAAAAAATTTTTTTGTTTTGTTTTGTTTTGTTTCTTTTGAGATGGAGTTTCGCTCTTGTTACCCAGGCTGGAGTGCAATGGCGTGATCTCGGCTCACCGCAACCTCCACCTCCTGGGTTCAGGCAATTCTCCTGCCTCAGCCTCCTGAGTAGCTGGGATTACAGGCACGTGCCACCATGCCCAGCTAATTTTTTGTATTTTTAGTAGAGACCGGGTTTCACCATGTTGACCAGGATGGTCTCGATCTCTTGACCTTGTGATCCACCCACCTCGGCCTCCCAAAGTGCTGGGATTACAGGCTTGAGCCACTGCGCCCAGAAAAAAAAAAAAAAAAAAAGAATTTTTTTTTTTTTTGAGACAGTCTCACTCTGTCTCCAGGCGCCAGGCTGGAGTACAGTGGCGCGAACTCGGCTCACTGCAACCACCGCCTCCCAGGTTCAAGCAATTCTCCTGCCTCAGCCTTTCAAGTAGCTGGGACTACAGCACACGCCACCATGCCCAGCTAATTTTTTTTTGTATTTTTAGTAGAGACGGGGTTTCACCATGTTGGCCAGGATGGTCTCAATCTCTTGACCTCGTGATCCTCCCGCTTTGGCTTCCCAAAGTGCTGGGATTACAGGCTTGAGCCACCGTGTCCGGCCGAAAATGTTTTTTTCTTACCTTCGTATGATAAGAGTGATCTATTGGTTAGAATATTATCTTTTTATCTTTGGAGTTTAGAAATTTCATCAGGATATGTCTAGGGTATTCTTTTGGTTGTTAATCTTTTTTTTTTTTGTTTTGTCTTGTTTTTTGAGACAGGGTCTCTGTTGTCCAGGCTGGAGTGCAGTGGCGCCATCATACCTCACTATAACTTTGAGCTCCTGGGATCAACCAGTCCTCCTGCCTCAGTTTCCTGAGAAGCTAGGACTATAGGTGTGTACCACCACACCTGGTTAATTAAAAAAAATTTTTTTGTAAAGATGAGGTCTCACTATGTTGCCTGGATTAGTCTCAAACTCCTGGCGTCAAGCAATCCTCCCACCTCAGCCTCCCAAATGCTGGGATGACAGGGTGAGCCATAGCTCTTGGTCTTGGTTGTTAATGTTGCTGCTCCCTGTGTCTTTCCAATCTGAAACCTCAAGCTTATGTTCAACTTAAGGAACTTTCATCTGTTATTTCAGAAAATTATTGCTTTTCCGTTTATACCATTTTCTCTTTTAGAAACTCCTGTTGTTAATACAAAAGAGTAGCTGGGCATGGTGGTGCATGCCTGTAATCCCAGCTACTCAGGAAACTGAGGCAGGAGAATTGCCTGAACCCAGGAGGCGGAGGTTGCGTTGAGCCGAGATCGCGCCATTGCACTCCAGCCTGGGTAACAAGAGCGAAACTCCATCTCAAAAAAAAAAAAAAAAAGAAACTCCTGTTGTTTAGATTTTAGCTGTCTTGGCTGTATTCTCCATTTTTTATTTTATATTTTTGCTTATCATTGCCATTTCTTTGAATTTTTGCTCTAAGTAAGCTCCCTCCTTTGGTTTTCTAGCTTATTAATTTGGTTGTTAGTGATGTCTTTTTTTGTTTTTCAGTACTTCTATTGAATTTTTTTAAGAGACAAAGTTTCACTATGTTGCCTAGGCTGTTCTCAAACTCCTAGGGTCAAGTGATCCTCTTGCCTCAGCCTTCTAGCTAGCTATAGGCAGGTGCCACTGTGCCCAGCTTAAGTTTTGACTGTTAGAGCAGTCCGTGTTTATGTATTTCTTTAAGAGATGGGATCTTGCTTTGTTGCCCAGACTGGATTAGAACTCCTGGGCTCAAGGGATCCTCCCTCCTGCCTTAACCTTCCATGTTGCTGGGACTACAGGCATGCGGCACTACACCTGGCTTTTGAATTTTTATTCAATATCAAGTTTAGGGAAATCTTTTCTTACACAGTTCCTTTAAAGTATCTTCTTGATTCTCCTTAAGAATTTGCAGGCCAGAGCCGGGCGTCGTGGCTCACGCCTGTAATCCAAGCACTTTGGAGGCCAAGGCGGGTGGATCACCTGAGGTCGGGAGTTGAAGACCAGCTTGACCAACATGGTGAAACCCCGTCTTAAAAAAAAAAAAAAAAAAAAAAAAAAATAAAAAAAAAAAAAAAGAATTTGCAGGCCAGGTGCGGTGGCTCACGCCTGTAATTCTAGCACTTTGGGGGCCGAGGTGGGCGGATCACCTGAGGTCTGGAGTTCGAGACCAGCCTGACCAACATGGAGAAACCCCCATCTACTAAAAATACAAAAAATTAGCTGGGCGTGGTGGCGCATGCCTGTAACCCCAGCTACTCGGGAGGCTGAGTCAGGAGAATTGCTTGAACCCAGGAGGTGGAGGTTGCAGTGAGCCAAGATTCTGCCATTGCACTCCAGCCTGGGAAATAAGAGTGAAACTCTGTCTCAAAAAAAAAAAAAAAAAAAATAGAATTTGCAAGCCTGAGACTAGCCTGGCCAACATGGTGAAACCCTGTCTCTACTAAAAATATAGAAAAATTAGCTGAGTGTGGTGACAGGCACCTGTAATCCCAGCTATTCAGGAGATTCGCTTGAACCCGGGAGGCAGAGGTTGCAGTGAGCCCAGATCGCACCACTGCACTCCAGCCTGGGCAATAGAGCAAGACTCAGTCTTGGAAAAAAAAGAATTTGCGGTCGAATTTAAGTTCTGTTTCCTACATTAACTCTGCAGTGGGAGCCAACTCATGTGATTATGGAGCCTGTTCTCTGTGTGGTAATCTCGAGCTACTGATATAATATATTTGTTTGTATTTATCCTGATCTTTTAGAACCTCTCTCTCTAGGAATTCCTTGAGCCCTGTGAAGGTGGTAAGAATTAAAGGGAGCCATTCTTTTCTTTTTTTTTTCTTTTTTTTTTTTTTTTTTTTGAGACGGAGTTTTGCTCTTGTTACCCAGGCTGGAGTGCAATGGCACGATCTCGGCTCACCGCAACCTCCGCCTCCTGGGTTCAGGCAATTCTCCTGCCTCAGCCTCCCGAGTAGTTGGGATTACAGGCACACGCCACCATGCCCAGCTAAAGCCATTCTTTTCAATAGGTCAGCTGTGAAAGGGATGATGGGACTTCTTATTGAAGAAGGGGAGAGGCCTCATAAGTTCCTGGACTTTGCTAGGTCATGATTGGAGAAGTGGCAGACCTCTCCTTTTGGTATCTGAGGGAGGCAGTAGCATTTTGGCTGAGTAGGTCAAGTCTCTTTGGAGGCAATGGCCTGAGCAGGGTCAGCAGGAAGGGATAGTTCTTTCCCCACATACTGATGGCATCTGCCCAGGCTTAGTGGGCTGGGACTCCTCAGATTACCTACCTTCTCATGCTGCCAGCTCCCTCACCTCAGCTGGCATTGAAATTCTTGAGTTGCCCCCAGCAGGAAGTCCTGGGGGAGGGAGGCGTCACAAGCACGCATTCAGGTTACTCTCTTCATAGATTTCGTCTCAGAATTGTTTGAGTTTGCAATGGAATAATGTTGCACACATTATATCCAGTACTTCCTCTGATATTATTGCTGCCATCTGCATCTCTGTCTTGTGCTGGATCTAGATAGACATGGTGTCTGAGGCTTCCTCGCTAGGTTCCCAGTGTGGCCTGGCCTTGAGTAAGGTGTCAACAAATATTGTGTAGGTGGATGATGGCTCTTTTCTTTCTTTCTTTTTTTCTTTTGTAGAAAATAAAAAGCCAGGTGAAGGCTCCAAGGGCCACAAGAAGGTAAGTTGGCCCTACCCTCAGGTAAGGTATGCCTTTTGGGTTTTTTTTTTTTTTTTTTGGTTGTCTTAATAATTTTTTTTTTTTTTTAAATATAAATATGGGGTTTCACCATGTTGGTCAGGCTGGTCTTGAACTCCCGACCTCAGGTGATCCACCTGCCTTGGCCTCCAAAGTGCTTGGATTACAGGCGTGAGCCACCATACCCGGCCACCTTTTGTTGAAGATAAGATCAGGAACAGGTTGCTTGTCCTGGGAGAGTCCCGCTAAACCCAGTAGGTATTGGGTGACTCTGGACAGAGTGCCACATTTGTGTCATTGGATCTGACTTTCCTTCCCTCTGGCTGGCCACAGCATAGAATCAGCAGCATTTTTCCCAAGCCATATGCTGCTTTGTGCTTGATTTACCTTGGTAGGGATTATCATTTTCCCCATGTTTTAGTTGAGGAAATTGTTAGTGGGAAAGTAACGCAACTGGGATTTGAGACTGTCTGATTCTCAAGTCCCTGTTTCTAATGGAGAAGAGGGAGGCAAAAATACCATCTTTGACCCCAGCTCCTGGGTCTCCTGGTCCTGCTGGGAAAGGTGTGGGTAACTAAGGCTTGGGAAAAAGCAATGAGAAGAAGGTATAAGCCAGAGAAGGCTTGGGTTCTCACAGTTTAGGGTGAGGGAAACTCTCAAACTTTACTCAGCCCTCTAGCATCACCTGGAGGATGAGTGAAAACATCGATTACTGGGCCGCACCTCAGAGTTTCTGATTCAGTAGGTCTGGATCAGGCATCTGGTGATTTGTATTTCTGGCAAGTTCCCAGGTGCTGCTGCCACTGCTGGTCTGAGGACCGCATTTTGAGAGCTGCTTATCTAGAAAGGTTTTCCCTGGGCCTTGGGAAACCTTCCCAGCTGCTCTTCCCCTCCGAGAGGTCTCCCGTCAGTCCCTGCCTGGCTGTGGTAGACAGGCGCTGTAACCAGCCAGATGGGCAGATCTTTGGGGATGGAGCCCGAGTGAGAGGATTGAGAAATACAAGGAGCATTTATGAGGGGATGTTGAATTCCTTCTAGGGCTTCCTGTGGCCTTTTTGAGGTGATTTCCATGGGTTAATTACCTCTGGTTTTTTTTTCTCTTATGTGGTGGGCAGCCTGCAAAGCAAAATGGGAAGAAAGCGGCCTCCAAAGTGCCCTCTGCACCTCGTTTGGTTCACTGCAGTGGTCATGCCAATCGAGAGGCTGAATCGAAGAAGAAGAGGGTAAGCTTTTAGCCTTGGTGGGGAGAGAGAGGTCCTGCCTTGAATGCCAGGTCCGCAGAAGTGTTGAATGGACGGGCAAAGGCAAGAGGTGTTAGGGTTGTTGAGGCTACTGGTTGAAGCTAGGAGAGAGGGAGGTTCCCGTGATACTGGATTTATGTCTCCATTTGCTCCCCACCCAGTCCATTGCTGTCTGGCTTATGCTTCCACTGCTCTGCTGACACTACCCCTGCTGCCCTCATCAGCGCCTTCCCTGACATCACATTCATGGGTAGTGTTCTTCCCTCATCTTACCGAATGCTCAGCATTTGAGGCCACGCTTTCCCTGAAGTACCTGGACTTTCTTGTCATCTCAATCTCCTGGATGTCTTCCTCTTTGACTAGCCATTGGCAGTCTCTTTTGCTACTTTTTCCTCTTCCTTATCCTTTTTATTTTTTATTTTTTTGAGACGGAGTTTCACTCTTGTTACCCAGGCTGGAGTGCAATGGCGCGATCTCGGCTCACTGCAACCTCCGCCTCCTGGGTTCAAGCAATTCTCCTGCCTCAGCCTCCCGAGTAGCTGGGATTACAGATGTGTGCCACCATGCCCAGCTAATTTTTGTATTTTTAGTAGAGACGGGATTTCACAGTGCTGACCAGCATGGTCTCGATCTCTTGACCTTGTGATCTACCTGCCTCGGCCTCCCAAAGTGCTGTGATTATAGGCGTGAGCCACCACGCCCGGCCCTTTTTATTTATTTATTTTTTGAGATGGAGTTTCGCTCTTGTTGCCCCTGCTGGAGTGCAATGGTGTGATCTCGGCTCACTACAACCTCCACCTCCCAGGTTCGAGCAATTCTCCTGCCTTAGCCTCCTGAGTAGCTGGGATTATAGGTGCTCACCACCATGCCTGGCTAATTTTGTATGTATATATTTTTTGAGATGGAGGCTTGCTGTGTTGCCCAGGCTGGAGTGCAATGGCGCGATCTTGGCTCACTGCAACCTCTGCCTCTGGGTTCAAGCAATTCTCCTGCCTCAGCCTCCTGAGTAGCTGGGATTATAGGCGCCTGCCACCACGCCCAGCTAATTTTTGTATTTTTAGTAGAGACGGCGGTTTCATCATGTTGGTCAGGCTGGTCTTGAACTCCTGACCTCAGGTGATTTGCCCACCTTGGCCTCTCAAACTGCTGAGATTACAGATTTGAGCTACTGTGCCTGGCCTTCTTCCTTTAAATGATGGAGCATTAGCTGGGTACGGTGGCTGATGCCTGTAATCCCAGCACTTTGGGATGCTGAGTCAGGTGGATCACTTGAGCTTGGGAGTTTAAGACCAGCCTGACCAACATGGAGAAGCCTCATCTCTACTAAAAATACAAAATTAGCTGTGTGTGGTGGCACATGCCTGTAATCCCAGCTACTTGGGAGGCTGAGGCAGGAGAATGACTTGAACCTGGGAGGCAGAGGTTGCGGTGAGCCGAGATTGCACCATTGCACTCCAGCCTGGGCAACAAGAGCAAAAACTCTGTCTCAAAAAAAAAAAAAAGATGGAGCATCCCAGGACCTTGGTCTCTTTCCATCTCTGGTATTAAGTGATTCTGCCTGCCTAGGATACCTTCTGTCTCTGCTTTATATACCCTCTTTTTTATTTTTGTCTGCCACTCTTTTCTTCCCTTCATGTCTTTTTCTTCTTCTCAAACCGTCATCTCCTGCTATCATATCTTCCCTCTCCCTGGACCCTGCTCCTCCCACCTCTGCCGTGTTGCGCCATTTCCTCTGTCACCCATCCCTCCCTTAGGCTGCAGACCCAGTCAGCTCCAGTCCCAGTGTGTGTTCCCTTTTTAGGTTAAGGAGATGAGGGAGATGCAGCAAGCTGCCCGCGAGCAAGAAAGACAAAAACGCAGGACCATGGAGAGCTACTGTCAGGATGTCCTGAGACGCCAGGAGGAGTTTGAGCATAAGGTAAGAGTGCAGCCCTGGCTCCTGGGTAGGCTTGCTCAAAAGCGTCTTTTGCCTTTTTTCCGTGAAAGGGAAGAAGGAAGGGTGTGAAGTCGTTGGAGGGGAGCAAGGGAATCAGTGCAGAGAGGATGGAAAACCTTCGGGATGGATGGATGAAGGGAGGGAGAGAGGGATGGAGATAAAGGGCCATTTTGAGCCTTACCTGTGACTGGACACCCCCGGAGAGCTCCTGTCTCCCAAGGTTGAGCCTAAAGACTGGGGCTGGTGGTAGGGCTGGGGGCTGGGAGAGGTAGGTGTGTCCAGGGGATGGGGTTGGGGGAGAGGGAGTGAGAATATGAGGACGAGATTGAGAGACAGAGAGGAGCATATGTGAGGGGATGTCGTCTTCCTTCTAGGGCTTCTTGCTGCTTTTTGGCAGATGTTCTTGTCTCACACACAGAACACACGCTTGCCAACTGCTGCTCCCCTTCCTGACATGCGTGTGTGTCTTGCCTCCCCCATCCTATGTCCCTCATAGATTGTTTTTTTCTCACACCTCCCTCTTCCCTCCCTCCCTTTCACACCCCTGTGCACACTCAGGTCTCCAGCTGGTGCTCGAGCACACACATACACATAGGCGCACACAAGAGCCATGGGGGTCTGTTCATTTTTCTTCCAGTTCCCAGCTTTATTAGTTGGTCAGAGCTACTTTTTGGTGGGCTGAGACTCACGTGGTTTTTTTTGACCTCCTATAGTTTCCAAAGCCCTGCTTCCCTTATCTCTCTCTCTCTCTCCCCGACTCTGCCCCTGGACCATTCTCTTTTTTCTCCTTTAGGAGGAAGTTTTGCAGGAATTAAATATGTTTCCTCAGTTGGATGACGAGGCCACAAGGAAGGCTTATTACAAGGAGTTCCGTAAGGTACAGGGTTCCATTTCTTCAGAGTTTTGGGGAGGGCTTTAGTCCAGCCCCATTTCCTCTCCGTTTCTGGTTTTTCCTGGCAGAGATGGAGACTTACTGTTTCACGGGCCTGTGTCACTGCTACCCTGTTCTATCCCTGCCCTCATCCCTCGGTCCTCTGCCCTGTAGGTGGTGGAATACTCTGATGTGATTCTGGAAGTCCTGGATGCCAGAGACCCATTAGGCTGCCGCTGCTTCCAAATGGAGGAGGCCGTCTTGCGAGCCCAAGGCAACAAGAAGCTGGTCCTGGTCTTGAACAAGATTGGTGGGTGTTAGGCAGGAGTGGGTGTGATAGGGGAGGGGCCAGGCCATCTTGAAAGTTTAGCTTGGACCGGACCCTGAACCCAGCAATTCAATAGTACTCATAATAGTCATGCAAAGTAGAAATTTTAGTTCCAATTTTCAAAGCCTGTATCACAGAGTATGGTACAGGTTAGGTGTGGAGTCCAAGCCTGTCTGCCTCTCAGTCCCCTGTTCTTGCCATTTTGAGCCTTCTCTGTGACTGGACAACCCTGGAAAGTTCCTCTCACTCAAGCTGGAACACAAAGACTGGGGCAGAGGAGCACGTGGGCTTAGGAGTCACTCAGGTCTGGGGCTCGGCTCCCCACCTGTCCTGATTCTTTTCTCTGAGATACTGGATAAGTCATGCCACCTCCAAGAGCTCCTGTTTCTCTAGCTGTAAAATGGGCCACGACTATCCCAACTTCACAGATTTGTTGTGAGAATTAATGATTCAATGCTTGGTACATGGCCATTACTTCACACATGATAGCCATTTTTTTTTTTTTTTTTTTAAAGATGGGGTTTCACCATATTGGTCAGGCTGGTCTCGAACTCCTGACCTCAGGTGATCTGCCCCCCTCAGCCTCCCAAAGTGCTGGGATTACAGGCGTGAGCCACCGCACCCGGCAGATAGCCATTCTTGTTACGGTGATCTTTGACATTCAGCCTAACCTAGAATGATCCAGAGAGGGGATGGGAAACACAGCATTTGGGAGGCCTCTGATGCTCCGGGCGCTGTTTTGGAAAGAGTACATTTGGGACCAGACAGCTAGTTTGTCCATTTGCCCTGAGGGAACAGAGGCCCCCTCAGGGAGGGCTAGGACATCTCATAGACCAGACTGTGCTTTCTAACTCCATCCTGGGGACTGTGTAGGACTGACAGGGCCAGTGTAGAGACCTGTTGATGATAGGTGGGCCTAGCTTTGGGTGTGGGTGGAGGTGTCTTTGGAGGGAACCATGGACGTGTTGTTCTGCTTACCAGCCCCATCTGTTCCTGTATTTACCCTAGACCTGGTTCCCAAGGAGGTTGTGGAGAAATGGCTGGATTACCTTCGGAATGAGTTGCCAACCGTGGCTTTCAAGGCCAGTACCCAGCATCAGGTCAAAAACCTGGTAAGCCTAGGGCTAGCGTCAACTAGCCTCTTTCAGGGGAGCTTGGGGCCAGAGTTGGCAGTTTGTGACTTGGTCTGAGACCTCCAGCCCTTCAGTAATTGAACTGGGACTTCAACTTTGAGCCTTTTGCTCCACTGAGTGACTTTTTTTCTCTTTTTTTGAGGTGGGGTTTTGCTCTTGTTGCCTGGGCTGGAGTGCAGTGGCGTAATCTTGGCTCACTGCAACCTCCACCTCTGGGGTTCAAATGATTCTCCTGCCTCAGCCTCCTGAGTAGCTGGGATTACAGGCACATGCCACCACACCCAGCTAATTTTTGTATTTTTAGTAGAGACGGGGTTTCGCCATATTGACCAGGCTGGTCTTGAACTCCTGACCTCAGGTGATCTGCCCGCCTTGGCCTCTCAAAGTGCTGGGATTACAGGTGTGAGCCACCACACCTGGCCAGTGACTTCTTAATATTAGCTTAACTTCACTTCTGTTATTATCACTCTTCAGTAAGTATTTTTTTCGATTGTAAGGATAATACATAATGTCTACAGGCAATTTGGAAAATGCAGTTAACTACTTGCTAACTTTATTTATTTATTTTTTTGAGACAGGAGTCTCACTCTGTCGCCCAGGCTGGAGTGCAGTGGCATGTTCTTGGCTCACTGCAACCACTGCCTGCCAGGTTCAAGCAATTCTCCTGCCTCAGCCTCCTGTGTAGCTGGGACTGCAGGCACGGGCACCACCACGGCCAGCTAATTTTTGTATTTTTAGTAGAGACGGGATGGGGTTTCGCCATGTTGGCCAGGTTGTTCTTGAACTCCTGACCTCAGGTGATCCACCTGCCTTGGCCTTCCAGAGTGCTGGGATTACAGGTGTGAGCCACTGCTCCCGGCCTAACTTTATTTTTTATTTTTTGAGACAGTCTTACTCTGTCACCCAGGCTGGAGTACAGTGGCACCATCTCAGCTCACTGCAATATCTGTCTCCTGGGTTCAAGCGATTCTTGTGCCTCAGCCTCCAGAGTAGCTGGGATTGCGGCTAAGTTTTGTATTTGTTTTTTAGTAGAGATGGGGTTTCATCATGTTGGCCAGACTGTCTCGAACTCCTGACCCCAGATGATCCACCAGCCTTGGCCTCCCAAAGTGCTAGGACTACAGGTGTGAGCCACTGTGCCCAACCAACTACTTCTTAACTTTAAAAAATACATAGACCTTCATTCATTTTTCTCTTTGAAACAAATCACAGTTCTTCATAATTACATCATTAGTAGAGAAATATGTATTCATTGTAAAATATTAATACAGAAACAGATTGCTTCTGGGGAGAGAAATTGGATACTAAGGGATATTTTTTTTCAATTTTGCGCTGGATGTTAAACTTTTTTTTTTTTTTTTTTGGCGTGATCTCGGCTCACCGCAACCTCCGCCTCCTGGGTTCAGGCAATTCTCCTGCCTCAGCCTCCTGAGTAGCTGGGATTACAGGCACGTGCCACCATGCCCAGCTAATTTTTTGTATTTTTAGTAGAGACGGGATTTCACCATGTTGACCGGGATGGTCTCGATCTCTTGACCTCATGATCAGGCATGAGTGTAATCTAACCACGCCCGTAATTTAACTGTAAATTTAGTCTAGCCGTAATTTAACCGCGCCTGGCGGATTTTTTTTTTTTTTCTTTTTCTTTTTCTTTTTTTTTTCTTTTTTTTTTATTGCATTTTTTTTATTGCATTTTAGGTTTTGGGTGGATGTTAAACTTCTTAAAAAATAAAGTAGAAAAAATAAAATCTACTACAGATAAAGCTTAAATACCCTTTTACGAGTCTTCCTAATTCTAGTGTCCTTTATTCATGCCCAGTGGTAACTAACCATTGACAGTTTGGTGTGTGTTCTTCCAGATTTTATTTGTTTTAGATACAGGGTCTCAATTGGTCACCCAGGCTTCAGTGCAGTGGTGATGATAGCTCATTGCAACCTCACACTCCTGGGTTCAAGCCATCTTCCTGCCTTAGCCCCCTGAATACCTTGGAGTATAGGTGCATGTCACCACGCCAGGCTAATCTTTTATTTTTTTGTAGCGATGAAGTCTTGCTGTTCTTTTTTTTTTTTTTTTTTTTTTTGAGACGGATTTTCACTTTTGTTGCCCACGCTGAAGTGCAATGGCGCGATCTCAGCTCACTGCAACCTCTGCCTCCTGGGTTCAAGTGATTCTCCTGCCTCAGCCTCCTGAGTAGCTGGGATTACAGGCATGTGCCACAACATCCAGCTAATTTTGTACTTTTACTAGTGACGGGGTTTCACCATGTTGGTCAGGCTGGTCTTGAACTCCCGACCTCAGGTGATCCTCTTGCCTCAGCCTCCCAAAGTGCTGAGATTACAGGCGTGAGTCACTATGCCTGGGCTTTTCTTTTTAAATTTCAGGTGGAGTCTTGCTCAGCCACCCAAGCTGGAGTGTAGTGGCACGATCTCGGCTTACTGCAACCACCATCTCCTGGGTTCAAGTGACTCTCCCGAGTAGCTAGGATTACAGGCACCTGCCATCATGCCTGGCTAATTTTTTTTGGTGTGTGTATTTTAGTAGAGATAGGGTTTCACCGTGTTGGCCAGGCTTGTCTTAAACTCCTGACCTCAGGTGATCTGCCTGCCTTGGCCTCCCAAAGTGCTCGGATTACAGGCATGGGCCACCACTCTCCCCCGAGATGGGGGTCTTGCTTTGTTGCCCAGGCTGGTCTCGAACTCCTGGCCTCAAACAACTCTCCCACCTCAGCTTTCCAAACTGCAGAGATTACAGGCATAAGCCACTGTACTTGGCTTTCCTCTAAATGTTATTCTGTGCTTTGGATATACATACAAGTATATATGTAAAGAGGGAATATTGTTTGGAAGTCTTATGTGTATCATAATATGTCAAAAACACATAATACTATGTGGTGTTTTTCTCTCTTGGACATCTTTCTACAGAGATGTGTCTTTTTGATGCTGAATACAATTAGTTTCCAGTTTCTTATCGTTAAAACCTGGGCTTCCACAAACACCCTTTCACGTGTCTCCTTGGCACATGGGCAAGTGTGTGTGTAGGTGACATGGAGACAGGGAGTGGCTGAGTCATAGCTTTTCTGCATTTTACATTTTCCCAGACCCTGATATTGCCCTCCATGATGGCTGTAGCAATTTATACGCCCACCACTGGGGTAGATGAATGCGTGAGAGGGCCTCTTTTCCTATACCCTTGGCAACATTTGATAGCATTAAACTTTTTAAATCTTTCAGAAACATGATACCTTATTTATAATTCTTGCCATTCTTTTTTTTTTTTTTTTTTTGAGACGGAGTTTTGCTCTTGTTGCCCAGGCTGGGGTGTGGTGGCGCGATTCCGCTCACTGACACTTCTGTCTCCTGGGTTCAAGCGATTCTCCTGCCTCAGCCTCCTGAGTAGCTGAGATGACAGGAATGCACCACCACGTCTGGCCGATTTTTTTTTTTTTAAAAGTGGAGATGGGATATCACTGTGTTGGCTAGGCTGGTCTCAAACTCCCAACCTCAAGTGATCCACCTGCTTCAGCCTCCCAAAGTGCTGGGATTACAGGAGTAAGCCACTGCATCTGGCTTCTTGGCCTTTTTGATGGCAAAAATAGAAGCCACCTTTTCTGTGTTTTTTTGAGATTCAGTCTCAGATCTATTGCCCAGGCTGGAGTGCACTGGTGCAGTCTTGGCTCACTGGAACTTCCACCTCCTGGGTTCAGGCGATTCTCCTGCTTCAGCCTCCTGAGTGGCTGGAATTACAGGCGCATGCTACCACATCCAGCTAATTTTTGTATTTTTAGTAGAGATGCGGTTTTGCCATGTTGGCCAGGCTGGTCTCGAACTCCTGACCTCAGGTGATCCACCCACATTGGCCTCCCAAAGTGCGGGAATGTAGGCGTGAGCCACCGCACCCAGCCAGAAGCTGCCTTTTCTGATAGCTGTGTTTCATTTGTATTCCGCTTTAAGGATATAGCTTTTTAACCTGTTTTCTTATTGATGGATATTTAGGCTAATTCCAATTTTGTGATACTAGAAACAATGCTGTGGCCGGGCATAGTGGCTCATGCCTATAATCCCAGCACTTTGGGAGGCCAAGGTCGGCAGATTGCTTGATGCCAGGAGTTCGAGACCAGTCTGGCCAAAATGGTGAAACCCTGTCTCTACTAAAAATACAAAAATTAGCTGGGTGTGGTGATGCATGCCTGTAGTCTCAGCTACTTGGGAGGTTGCGGCATGAGAGTCACTTGAACCTGGGAGGCAGAGGTTGCAGTGAGCCGAGATCGTGCCACTGGACTCCTGCCTGGGTGATAGAGTGAGACTCTGTCTCAAAGAAAAAAAGTAATGGAAGATGAAGGAGGGAATTCTGGGCAGAGGAGGTGGCATCAGGAGTAAAGGTTGGGATGGCCTTGTCCTGTGTGAGGAATTGAGGGAGAGTAGGCTGTGGGCCAGACACCCTCTCATCCCTGCGCAGGCAGGGAGGCTGGGCATCCCTGTTGTACACACAGGGCACTGAGGCCTGCAGAAAAGAAGCCGGCTTTGCTGGGCATAGGCCTGTGAGAAGTAGACCTGGAGCTCAGACCTGGCCTATCTAGAGCCAGGATGCCATCCTGCCATTGCCGAGGGAAGCAAGTGACATGTGTCCAGCCAGAGGCGGGGGCAGAGAAGACTGGAAACACAAAGTGGAGGGGAATGGGGAAGTGATACGTGTTCAGGATGTGTGTGCAAAGCCTTCTGTTTCAGGCTGAGGAGCTCAGTGATCATAGGGAGGCCCTGAAAGTTGGAAATCTGGGGTCAGACCTCATCTGCCACCTGATGTCTCTTCTGTAATATTTACCTGTTTTCCAGAATCGTTGCAGTGTACCAGTAGATCAGGCCTCTGAGTCAATGCTAAAAAGCAAAGCCTGCTTTGGAGCTGAAAACCTCATGAGGGTTCTGGGGAACTATTGCCGCCTTGGTGAAGTGCGTACCCACATTCGTGTGGGTGTTGTGGGTAAGACTTGCTGGGTGGTCACGGGGCCCAGGCTTCTTTCTTAGGGGGTCACTTCATTGGGGGAAAGGATCCTGGGAGTTTCGTTGTCTTTTGGGGGAAGAGAGGAGTGGTTCAGGAAGGGTAAATTGGATTGGTGGGCATCACTGTGTATTGAGTATTAGAACCATGGAGCAAATGCAGGGTACCAGGCTTGGAGTTGGCACCATCTCATCTTACTAGAGCTATGGAAGGGAGGGCTGACCATCTATCTTTTAGAGATGAGAATACTTTGTGAGGCCCAGAGAAGGGCAAAGGGATTTGTGGAGCCCAGCCCTGTGTGAGACAAGGTAGAGCTGAGGATCAATCCTGGCCCTTTCTGGAACACAGGTTCCTGAGGGAGGGGGGATGAGAATGGAGTAGGGAAAGTGAGAGAGGCAGAGATATAGATCATCAGAGAGAGAAAGCGAAGCGTGAAGCCACGAGAGAAAGACATTGGAGAGAGAGCTGGACACGGAGAAGTTACAGGTACAGATACCTGTATAGACACAGAAGAAGACCTGGAGAATGAACGGGGAAGCCAGATGGCAGGGTTGTGGGGAATGAAAAGAGGGGACAAATTTACATGATGGAGGTGTGCAAAGAGGGAGATAGAATCAGAAATACCAAAAGGGACATAGAGACAGGCACACATACAGAGTTCTGCAGAGGGAGACATAGGAAGGGTAGAGATACCCCATGCATGTGGAGAGGCAGACATGTGTTCCCAAAGAAAGAATGAGAGAGGCAAACGTTCCAGGGATAGAGACAGATTCAGGGAGAGATATACATGGAAGTAGACTGGATAAGAATGTAGATACAGAGGAATACATACACGTAGCTCTAAGCATACATACAGATCCACAAACACACAGACCCACGCTGCAGACCCAGAGATCCAGAGGAGGCGCATCTAGAGAGACAGATCCAGAGTCAAAATGCATGCAAACCAAGCCCTTCTCACACATACCCACCCTAACGCTGCTCCCCCAACACACATAGAAACACAAGGAGGGCCGGATGTGGCGGCTCATTCATGCCTGTAGCCCCAGCACTTTGGGAGGCCGAGGCAGGCCAACCACTTGAGGTCAGGAGTTTGAGACCAGCCTGGCCTACATTGCGAAACCCCGCATCTACTAAAAATACAAAAATTAGCCCGGTGGGGTGGCGAGCGTCTATAATTCCAACTACTTGGGAGGCCAAGGCAGAGGAATCGCTTGAATCTGGGAGGCGGAGGTTACAGTGAGCCAATATCGCGTCACTGTACTCCAGCCTGGGCGACAGAGTGAGACCCTGTCTCAAAAAAAAAAAGAAGACACATGTGCCTACATACACTTTGACCTTCGAACATAATCACATACCCAGAGTCACAGAGGAACACAGATACACAGACATGTCACGATGAGGCAGATATGTGTACCTATGCAGAGAAATAGACATACAGAGAGCAGGTTAAGGAGGAGGCACAGACAGGCAGACAGTAGAAGAGACACCGTGAGACACATACAGAGGGCCATCCACAAAGTGACCGGCCCAGATAACAAAGACAAGATAGAGAAAGAAACCAAGTGGGAGAGAGACAAGAAAAGGAAAAAGTGGCAATACTGAGAATGGGAATGACCAAGAGATAGAGAGAGAGAGAGAGAGAGAGAGAGAGTGAGAGTGAGAGAGTGAGTGGGTGGGTGTGCAGAGACTTCCATGCATGGTGATATTTAGAATGAGAATGAGCTAGAGAGAGGGAGGGGGGAGAGAGGTGTGCAGGGACTTCATGCACAAGAGGTATACTTAGACATATACTTTTTTTTTCTTTTGGCAATCAGCTTTCTCGAGTTGAAACAAGCATATGCCTGAGAGAATAGTACACTTATGTAAATTGAGCACGTACAGAAAGAGAACGGTGAGAATGAGGCCCAGTGAGGGGAAACAGAAAGACATCTACAGGCTGAGAATGGCTGACAGATGCCCAAACAGAAAAAGACATACCTCAGGTAGATAGCTGCTCAGAGAGACTTGCATCTGGAGATGACCTCCATCCCCATCCATGGAATGATACACCCGGACAGGTGGTTCTCTGTTTCTTAGACATTTCTTGATGTCCACCTTCTGTTGGATTGTGCCACCGAGGCCTTGCACTGAGGACTTCTGCCTGGCTGGTTGTGGGTGGGAGCTTGGTGTCACATCTAGAGAGATGGCTGTACCTATCTAGCATGCTTACAATTGGAGGGGAGAGGTAGAAAGGCCCTGTAGGGGCTGGCTCAGGGCCTGGGGTGGGAAGGGAGGAGGCCAGGCTCAATTTTTTGCCTTCCTCATGGCCTGGTCACTGCCTCTGGCGGGGCCTCCCTCATACATGCTGGCCTGAGTGTTCCTGAGGGCCTCTCCCGCCCTGAGCCATCTGCTGCTACTTTGCAGGTCTTCCCAATGTTGGGAAGAGCAGCCTTATCAATAGCCTGAAGCGCAGCCGCGCATGCAGCGTAGGAGCCGTTCCTGGGATTACCAAGTAAGCACCTGCTTGCTCCCCAACTCCACAATTCCTTGACCCTCCCATTTCCCCCCTACTCCCATGCCTTCAGCCCCTGTCCCTTTCCTTATTGTGGACCATCCCCTGATGCTTTCCCGAGGCATGGGAGTCTCCATAGCCCTCATTTTCCTGACACACCCTAGATGTAAGCCAGGTGCCCAGATGGGTGCTTCCCGTTAGTGGCTTGAAGCTTCTGAATAGCCATACAAGATTGGGGTACTAATGGGAGCTCTGCTGCCTGGATGAAGCAGCCGAGGCTTGGAGAGTCACGCTTGCCCAAGGTCCTGCAGCTCAGTCCCCAGTGGCAGAGGCTAGAACAGAATCAGCCCCAAGTCTGTAGAGCCCCAGTCATCCCCCCTCCAGCTCTACGTCTCCACCTTCATCACTAATCACTCTCCCGTCACTCCTTTACACCCCCACGTCCCAGGCCCACCTTCGTGATTGGGGCCTCTAGGCTTTCTTCTTCCCCATCCTAGATTCATGCAGGAGGTCCACCTGGACAAGTTCATCCGGCTGCTGGATGCTCCAGGCATTGTCCCAGGGCCCAACTCCGAGGTGGGCACCATCCTGCGTAACTGCGTCCACGTGCAGAAGCTGGCAGACCCTGTGACCCCGGTGGAGACCATCCTGCAGCGCTGCAACCTGGAGGAGGTCTGCAGCAGAGCCCTGGCTGATGCCCTGCCCTGCTCCAAGGGCCCTTCATTCGTCCTCATGACTTCTCTCCTTCCTGCCTTCACCAGATTTCCAACTACTACGGCATCTCTGGGTTCCAGACCACTGAGCACTTTCTCACGGCAGTGGCCCACCGTTTGGGGAAGAAGAAGAAGGGAGGCATATACAGTCAGGAACAGGCGGCCAAAGCTGTCTTAGCTGATTGGGTCAGGTGAGGAGGGGGTTAGGGGTAAGGGTGAGGCCTGCTGGGAACCTGGCCCCACAAAGGGGTTCATCTGTGCCCATTGCAGCTGCTGGGGCAGCCTGGCTTCCTGTGTCTCAGGGCAGAGGATGGCCAAGGTGCTGGGTCACGTTCTGCTGGAGACTTTATGCCCAGTGATTATCCAGCAACTCAACTCCTCCTTGTTCAGAAGCCACTGTCTGGGTTTTCTTGTTCTCTTGCTGTTTCTCTGGGATTGGTCATTGGTTCTGTCAGTGACAGCATTACTCATCTTCCCTATCTCCCAATGCAGTGGGAAGATCAGCTTCTATATACCACCACCACCTACTCACACTCTGCCCGCCCATCTCAGTGCGGAGATCGTTAAGGAAATGACCGAGGTCTTTGACATCGAGGATACTGAGCAGGCCAATGAAGACACCATGGAATGTAAGTGTGGGCAGGGTGGGTGCACTTGGCCTTGCACTAGTGGGACCACATAGACCTGACAGCAGACCCCACGTTTGACCTCCCCCTTCCTTGACCCTACTTGGGCTTTGAGCAAGTTGCTTAACCAGCTGTAAGCCTAATTTCTTTTCCTGCAGGGTGGGGAATTCTAATCTGGCCCTGGCATGGGGGAGGGAGGAGAGGACGATGGTGAGCTTCTGGTAAATACAAAAGAAAGTGCCTGGTACCCATTGAGGTGCTCTGGAAATATGAGGCTCCATTCCTGTCTCTTGGGACCTGGAATGGACTGAGACGTTCTCTTAAAAACTCTCTCATGTTGCCTTAGGCTTTTTCACACACATTTCAGGTCCATTTCTAGATTTTCCTGCTTGCCCCCTTTGGTGAGTAAGGTATCCAAGTCACAGAAAGCTGACATTCGCCAAAAGGATGTCAGCAGAGGTGGCCTTTGAACCGGTTCTGTCCTGTTGAAGACTCTTCCAGCTCCGATGAGCTGGGTGTCCAAAAGTATAGACTGCCTGGATTCACATCCGAGTTTTGTTTCCTTTTTACTATGCGATGCTAAACAAATTACTTCACTTCAATGACATCATCTGTAAAATGGGGACAATAAATCCACCCAATAAGGTAGTTAATAAGGATTTATTTAATATGTAAAAGACATTTAGAACAACAGGGCCTGGCATGTAGTGTATAAATGCTCAGTAAATGTTAGTGTTTATTGATGATTATTTGCTGGGGAACAGAGATGTGACTCTCAGAAACTCCTGGGAATGTTTGCTCTCCTCAGATATTACTCTCTGCAGCCCTGGCTTGTGGCTCCCTGCTTCATTCTCTATGTTATTGGGTCTTTTTTTTTTTTTTTTTTTTTTTTTAAGATGGGGTTTCACCGTGTTGGTCAGGCTGTTCTTGAACTCCTGACCTCAGGTGATCCACCCGCCTTGGCCTCCAGAGTGCTTGGATTACAGGTATGAGCCACCACGCCTGGCCCCTTGCTTCATTCTCTACCCTGCCTGAGAAAGGTGCCCAGTGCTCTCTGGGCTTGTCTGTAGACACTCTGGGGTAGTTGAGGAAGCCTTGGCTAGCTTAACTTGTAGATTCTCTGTTGTTTTTTTTTTTTTTTTGCTTGAGGTCCAGTAGTTTTCCTTCTCTGGGTCTTTTAGTGTCCTTGTATCACACATTGGATTAAAAGGACTTCCCTGCTTTCTAGTTTATATCCCATGTGAGTTTGGGCAAGTCAGCCCCTTTTCTGAATTTTAATTTCCTCTTTTTTTTTTTTTTTTTTTTTTTTTTTTTTTGAGACAGAGTCTTGCTCTGTCACCCAGGCTGGAGTGAAGTGGCGTGATCTTGGCTCACTGCAACCTCTGCATCCTGGGTTTAAGCAATTCTCTGCCTCAGCCTCCTGAGTAGCTGGGATTACAGACACCCGCCACCATGCCCGGCTAATTTTTTTTTTTTTTTTTTTTTTTTTTGTATTTTTAGTAGAGATGGGGTTTCACCATCTTGGCCAGGCTGGTCTCGAACTCCTGACCTCGTGTTCCACCTGCCTCAGCCTCCCGAAGTGCTGGGATTACAGCTGTGAGCCCTGCGCCTGGCCTCCTTTTTTTTTTTGGAGGCAGAGTCTTGCTTTGTTGCCCAGGTTGGAATACAGTGGTATGATCTGGGCTTACTGCAATCTCTGCCTCCTGGGTTCAAGTGATTCTCATGCCTCAGCTGCCTGAGTAGCTGGGACTATGGGTGTGCACCATGCTTGGCTTATTTTTTTATTTTTAGTAGAGATGGGGTTTTGCCATGTTGGCCAGGCTGGTCTCGAATTCCAGACCTCAAGCAGTCCACCTGCCTTGGCCTCCCAAAGTGCTGGGATTACAGGCATGAGCTGTCGTACCTCACCTTCATTTCCTCTTCTATTAAATAGGGCAGTTGAGAGGGGTTTGAGCTTATGTTCTTGTGATGATACTTGACCCTGGCTGGACGTAAGGGCAAGAGGTGCTCCATCACCGAGAATGCATTTTGGCAAAAGATTGAGGTCTGAGAAATTGAGGAGACAGTGAGGGACAGGTTAGTGGTGAGCATTTCCTGGATGAGTTGGCCCTAGTGCTGGATCTTGAAGGGTGAGTAGGGATTAGAAGGCCCAGGGTAGGGAATGGGGCAAAATTACAGAAGCAGGCATGAGGGTAGTGAGGCACAGGGCAGTGGACACATCTGAGGTTTGCAGTGGAGGCCAGCTTCAGGCAAGGGGCCAGAGAGAGGAGGGGAAAGTCCTGGTCCTGGGGAGGGAATCCCAGAGCCTGCCATTCACAGAGCAGTATCTTGGGCCCAGAGCATTACAGACCTCTCCCATGTTTCACAGCAGCAGCCCAGTGTGACTAGGGCTTGTGGAATTCCCATTTTCCAAATGAGGAAGCTAAAGCTCTGAGTCCAGCTCCCAGCAAGTGAATGTCCTACTGCAAAACCCATGCTTTTAATTCTTGGTCATGTGGCCTCTCAGCAGAAGCGAAAAAGTTCTTGCATCTGACTCTTACTGGGAAGCATCCACGTATCCTTTTCACTGAGGCCTAACCAGGGGGCTGGCAACAGCAGGGAGCCAGGGCCCTGACACCGGTGTTGGTTGTTTTAAAGGCTTGGCCACTGGAGAATCTGATGAGCTGTTGGGTGACACGGACCCACTTGAAATGGAGATCAAGTTGCTTCATTCTCCGATGATAAAAATAGCAGATGCCATTGAAAATAAAACCACCGTGTATAAGGTACCTGACCTCTTTGTTCATGGCAACCCTCTTCTCTCCCCAGGGTTCTGGGAAGTGGTTGGTCCCTTTTACCTGACTCCCATGTCGTGAGATGTGGGAGGTTCATTCACTCCCTGTGGGCTTCTGGATGCCTGGTCTAGAGTAGAGCATCATTTGCCAAGCAATGACAGGTCCAGGGAGTAGGCATGCTCTCTAAGACAGCTTTCCCAGCCCTGGTTCCAGCCCATAGCACAGGTATTACTGGCTGGGCGCCGTGGCTCATGCCTGTAATCTCAGCACTTTGGGAGGCTGAGGTGGGTGGATTACAAGGTCAAGAGATCGAGACTATCCTGGCCAACATGGTGAAACCTTGTCTCTACTAAAATACAAAAATTAGCTAGGCGTGGTGGTGCACGCCTGTAGTCCCAGCTACTTGGGAGGCTGAGGCAAGAGAATTGCTTGAACCCGGGAGGCAGAGGTTGCGGTGAGCCGAGATCACGCCACTGCACTCTAGCCTAGCACCTAGTGACAGAGCAAGACTCCGTCTCAAAAAAAAAAAAAAAGAAAAAAAGAACAGGTATCACTAGCCACCCAGCTGTTCAACTTGTAAACGAGTCTTCTCCCTAAATAGTACCAGGATCTTTTTGTTGTTGTTGTTTGAGACAGAATTTCACCCTGTCGCCCCGGCTGGAGTGCAATGGCGCGATCTTGGCTCACTCCACTCCATCTCCCAGGTTCAAGCGATTCTCCTTCCTCAGCCTCCCGAGTAGCTGGGATTACAGGTGCACGCAACCATGCCTAGCTAATTTATCGTATCTTTAGTAGAGACGGGGTTTTACCATGTTGGCCAGGATGGTCTAGAACTCCTGACCTTGTGATCCACCTGCCTCGGCCTCCCGGAGTGCTGGGATTACAGGCATGAACCAACGGAGTCTTACTCTGTCACCCAGGCTGCAGTACAGTGGCGCGATCTTGGCTCACTGCAACCTCCGCCTCCCAGGTTCAAGTGATTCTCCTGCCTCAGCCTCCCAAGTACCTGGGATTACAGGCATGTGCCACCACACTGGCTAATTTTTGTATTTTTTAGTAGAGATGGGTTTTTGCCATGTTGGCCAGGCTGGTCTCGAACCCCTGACCTCAGGTAATTTGCCCGCCTCAGCCTCCCAAAGTGCTAGGATTACAGGCTTGAGCCACCGCATCTGGCCTGGGATTTTATACTTAGTCACCAAGACCTATCTTCTCCCTCCTAAATCTTTTGACAAGCTGTTGTCTTCTTTTCATCTCTACCATTCCCATAACCCTAAACTAACCTTTCAGTCCTCATTCACTTAGACGTATGTCTTATTGTTTCTAATGGCCCAGTCTGACCATGTCACCTGCCCTGCTTAAACTCGTTTCATGGCTCCCCTGCACCTATAGGATCAAGTCCATATGCCTGCAGCCTTCTATTCAACATCTGATGTGATGACTCCTTGAGATTTTTTCAGCCTCCTCTTCTGCCAGTCCATCTCCCATCTCTGCTCTTCAGAAGTTCATATTTTAGTGGGTTTCAGACACAGACATCCACACTGTGACAGGAGACTTAATAGGGTGCGGATACTGGTCGAGGTTGGGACAGCATGGATCCAGGGACCCTAATCTCTACTACCTGTGGGTCAAGGAAGTCTTGCTTGAGCCATGTATCAGTCCCTTTGCATACGCTGTAAAGAACTGACCAAGGCTGGTAATTTATAAAGGAAAGAGGTTTAATTTACTCACAGTTCAGCACAGCTGGTGAGGCCTCAGGATTCTTACAGTCATGGCAGAAGGTGAAGGGGGTGCAAGGCATCTTCTTCACAAAGTGGGAGGAAGGAGAATGAACGCAGGAGGAACTACCAAACACTTACAAAGCTATCAGATCTCATGAGAACTCGCTATCATGACAAGAGCATGGGGGAAACCACCCCCATGATTTAATTACCTCCACCTGGTCTCTCCCTTGACACATAGGAATTACAGGGTTTACTATTCAGATGAGATTTTTGGGTGCGGACATAGCCAAACCCGATCAAACCATGTCTTGAAGGCTGAGGAGTTCTCTGGGCAGTGGGGTCAAGCAGCGTATGGTCCAGGGCCCCGCCATGTTGGCCAGCCTGGTCTTGAACCCCTGACCTCAAGTAATCTGGCCTTCTCCGCCTTTCAAAGTGTTTGGATTACAGGCGTGAACCACTGTGCCTGGCCAGAAACAGACACCACTCTTGGTACTCAGGTATGCTCTATGTTTTTCCAGTGTTCAGTCAGGAATGACCCCTCCCCATTAGTAGTGTGTTGACCACCACTATCATCCCTTACTTCTCAGTCACTCCTCCTTCATGTTTCTTTTTTTGTTTTTTAATTTTAAAATTTAACTTTAGGTACATACTGTATCTGGCATTTCTCATCCTTCATGTTTCTAATGGGCAGTTACCATACTCCGATTTGTGGTATAGATCGTTGTATCTTCAGCTGGGTGCGGTGGCTCACGCCTGTAACCCCAGCACTTTGGGAGGCCGAGATGGGCGGATCATGGGGCCAGGAGTTCGAGACCACTTTGGCCAACATGGTAAAACTCTGTCTCTACTAAAAATGCAAAAATTAGCCAGATGTGGTGGCGTGTGCCTATAGTCCCAGCTACTCAGGAGGCTGAGGCAGGAGAATCACTTGAAGCTGAGAGGTAGAGGTTGCAGTGAGCCGAGATTGCGCCAGTGCACCACTCCAGCCTGGGCAACAGAGCGAGACTCTGTCTCAAAAAATAAAAAATCTTTCTATCTTCTTTAGCCAGGTTGTTTTCTGAAGATGGAACTGAGGCCGGGTGTGGTGGTTGGCACCTGTAATTCCAGCACTTGGGGAGGCCAAGGTGGGTGGATCACCTGAGGTCAGGAGTTTGAGACCAGCCTGACCAACATGGTGAAACACCATCTCTACTAAAAATACAAAAAATTAGCCAGGTCTGGTGATGTGTGCCTGTAATCCCAGCTACTTGGGAGGCTGAGGCAGGGGAATCGCTTGAACCCGGGAGGCGGAGGCTGCAGTGAGCCAAGATCACACTGCTGCACTCCAGCCTGGGTGACAGAGTGAGAGTCTGTTTCAAAAAAAAAAAAAAAAAAAAAAGATGGAAATGTGTCACTCATTTCTCTGTCTCCAGCATTGCTTCACACAGAGCTGGACACAAAGTAGGTGTCAGATTTTTTTTTTTTTTTTTTTTTTTTTTTTTTTACGACAGGGTCTTGCTCTGGCACCCAGGCTGGAGTGTAGTGGTGTGATCTTGGCTCACTGCAGCCTCTGCCTCCTGGGCTCAAGCAGTCCCCCTACCTCAGCCTCCCAAGTGCCTGGGATTACAGATGCAAGCCACCATGCCCAGCTAATTTTTTTTTTTTTTTTTAGGCAGGGTCTTGCTCTGTCGCCCAGGCTGGAGTGCAGTGGTGCAATCTTGGCTCACTGCAACCTGCACCTCCTGGGTTCAAGTGATTCTCCTACCTCAGCCTCCCAAGTAGCTGGTACAGGCGCCCCTGATCACGCCCAGCTAATTTTTGTATTTTTAGTAGAGATAGGGTTTCACCATTTTGGCAAGGCTGGTCTTGAACTTCTGACCTCAAGTGATCCGCTTGCCTCAGCCTCCCAAAGTGCTAGGATTACAGGCGTGGGCCACCGAGCCTGGCCTCCTAGCTAATTTTTTTTTTTTCGAGATGGAGTCTCACTCTGTCACCCAGGCTGGAGTGCAGTGGCATGATCTTAGCTCACTGCAACCTCCACCTGCCTGTGTGACCCTGGAAGGGAGGGTGCAGAGGTCTTTGTATGTGTATGTTTTCACAGCAGAGTTTGCATGTGACACAGTGACTGTTTAGGAGGAGGCAAGTGTCTCACAAATGTGTGTATTCCTGGGCCTATGGCTAAGACTCAGGGACACCGTGGATGTGTTTGTTAGATGAATATGACATAGTAAATTACAGTTGTCCCCTGGTCTCCACGGGGTATTGGTTCCAGGACAGCCTGAAGATACCAAAATTGCCAACACTCCAGTCCCTTCTATAAAATGGCATGTTATTTGCATATAAACTGTATATTTTCCTGTATCATTTTTTATTTTGAGATGGAATCTTGCTCTGTTGCCCAGGCTGGAGTGCAGTGGCACAATCTCGACTCACTGCAACCTCTGCCCTCAGGTTCAAATGATTCTCCTCCTCAGCCTCCTGAGTAGCTGTGATTACAGCCGTCTGCCACTGTGCCCAGCTAATTTTGTGTGTTTAGTAGAGATGGGGTTTCAGCATCTTGGCCAGGCCGGTCTCAAACTTTTGTCCTCAAGTGATCTGCCTGCCTTGGCTTCCCAAAGTGCTGGGATTACAGGCATGAGTCACTGTGTCAGGCCTCGAAAAGTGTTTTTTTTTTTTTTTTTTTTTTTTTTTTTTTTTTTTTTGAGACGGAGTTTCGCTCTTGTTACCCAGGCTGGAGTGCAATGGCGCAATCTCGGCTCACCGCAACCTCCGCCTCCTGGGTTCAGGCCATTCTCCTGCCTCAGCCTCCTGAGTAGCTGGGATTACAGGCATGTGCCACCATGCGCAGCTAATGTTTTGTATTTTTAGTAGAGACGGTGTTTCACCATGTTGACCAGGATGGTCTCGATCTCTCGACCTCGTGATCCACCCGCCTCGGCCTCCCAAAGTGCTGGGATTACAAGCTTGAGCCACCGCGCCCGGCCTAAAAGTGTTTTTTAATTGAGTAGGACCTTGAAGGGTCAGTTAATCAGGGAATCACTGTAATACCAATTGTCATTGATCAAGCAACTCTGCCTTTTCTTTATATTCTTGTAAAAGCCATACCAACTACCCCTTATCTACCCTTCATTTGACAGATGAGGAAACTGAGGCTGAGAGTTAATTAAGCACCTGCTGGAGTGTTGTGGGGCCAGAATTGGAGCCTAGTTCTACATGGTTCCAGGCTCCTGTTCTTACCCAAGCCTGTGTTCCTGACTTTTCTGCAGAAGTCTTTGGAGGTTCTCTTGGGGTCAAGACCTCATCGTTATGTTTTCTCTCTCTCCCTAGATTGGAGATCTCACTGGGTATTGCACCAATCCAAACCGTCATCAGATGGGGTGGGCTAAACGCAATGTGAATCACCACCCTAAGAACAACAATATGGTGGATGTCTGCTCAGTGGACCGCCGCCCAGTGCTGCAGAGGATCATGGAGACGGATCCCCTACAACAGGGCCAGGCTCTGGCATCCGCCCTGAAGAATAAGAAGAAGATGCAGAAACGTGCAGGTGGGAGCTCCTGACCATCCCTACCTGGGATCTTCTCTCTGCCTGTCGGGTTCAAGTGATTCTCCTGACTCAGTCTCCTGAGTAGCTGGGATCACAGGCACCTGCCACTTTGCCTGGCTAATTTTTGTATTTTTAGTAGAGCCAGGGTTTCGCCATGTTGGCCAGGCTGGTCTCAAACTCCTGACTTCAGGTGATCCACCTGCCTTGGCCTCCCAAAGTGCTATGATTACAGATGTGAGCCACCACCGCCAGCCCCACCTGAGATCTTGACTGGGGCTCCTGAATGAGTATCTCTCTGTGTCCAGCTCCAGTCTAGGGTTGAGGGCAGGAATGAGCTAGGAGGGTCAACTAGTAGCACAGTGGTTCTCAAACTTCAGCTGGCAACAGGATTCCCTGGAGGGTTTGTTAACATACAGATTTTTGGACCCTTCACTCAGTTTCTAATTAGTATGCCTTCTTTGGTGCCTGTTAGGATTTGTATTTCTAACAGGTTCCTAGCTGATGCTATTTCTCTGGGGATCACACTGGGAGAACCACTGGCCTGCCTAGTCTATGTATCAAATAACCAGCATTTATTTATCAGGTACTCTCTATGTGTTAGGTAGCTTGCAGGGTATGCATAATTTTTGCTTTATCAATAGGCAGTATACTCAAAATCCTAAAGGTACAAGAGGATATACAGTAAAATCTCTCGCATCCCCTAGTCACCCAGACTGACCCCTAGTCAACCAGTTAGTTTCTTGTGTCTTTCCTGAGATAGGTACACAGGCAATTATCTATATATTCTTTGTTCTCTTTTTCTACTCAAATGCCAATCTACTGGACACATGGCTTTGCCCTATCATTTTTCCACTCAGTATATCTTAGGGATATGTCTACATCAATACACAAAAGAACTACTTTCCCTCATTTTAATGGTGGTCCATTGTGTAGCTGGCCCATTCGGGTTTCCATGGTGTGCTTTTTTTTTTTTTTGAGATGGAGTTTTGCTCTTGTTACCCAGGCTGGAGTGCAATGGCGTGATCTCGGCTCACTGCAACCTCCATCTCCTGGGTTCAGGCAATTCTCCTGCCTCAGCCTCCTGAGTAGCTGGGATTACAGGCATGCGCCACCATGCCCAGCTAATTTTTTGTATTTTTAGTAGAGACGGGGTTTCACCATGTTGACCAGGATGGTCTTGATCTCTTGACCTCGTGATCCACCCGCCTCAGCCTCCCAAAGTGTGGGATTACAGGCTTGAGCCACTGCGCCCGGGCGGTGTGCTTTTTTTTACTAACTCATTGCAAAAGTTTTACCCTCATTTGATAAGTGAGAAAACTGTGGTCCAGAGACATTAAGTGACACATCGAAGGTAAGACATCTAGTAGTTGATGGAGCCAAAATACAGACTTAGGGTCGATTGACCCATCAGCCCTATTCTTTGAACTAGATTGCGTTCTGAAACCAAACATACACAATCAGACATTCCCTCTTGGCCTGGCCCCACACTGAGTCCTGGGAATTCAAATGAATGGTCCTTGAACTCCTAGTCTTATTAGGGAGTTGGGAGGAAATGAGAAAACAGACCTTGGCAGCACAAGCACATAGTAATCACTTTGAAGACCCAGCAAGCACAATGAGGGAAGCTGACTGAGCCTGGGGATGGTCGTTGGATAGAGGTGATCAGAGAAGGCCTCCTGGAGGAGGTGAAGTCTGAGGGGCATCCTGAGGAATAACAAGAGTGTGTCTAGAGGATGGGAGTTGTGCATGATGAACATTCAGGCTCAGAGCCCCTACGGCCATGCTGTCCTTTGCTGTGAGAGCTTTGTTTTGAGGGTAATGGTAGAGCGCTAAGTTTGACACAGTCAAAGAAAATTACTGCTTTGGTATTTGGACAAAAATACGTAGAGCCCAGTGAGGCTGAAACCCTGAGACAGAAGCTATGTTGGCCTAATCCATTTTACAGATAGAAAAATGGATTGTCTGTGTGTGAAGCTGAGCAGTGGCTTCCAACACGCGCCAGTTTTGTTTAGTGTTTGCGGGTAAGTGAGCCAGTTCAGGAGCTTAGTGCAGACCAAGGTAGATGTAGGCCAGCATCAGCAGGCCTCCTGGTGGCAAGTCAGCCACCAAAAGATTGCTTATATTTCTCTATTTGCAGATAAAATTGCCAGCAAGCTGTCTGATTCCATGATGTCTGCTCTCGACCTCTCTGCCAATGGTGATGATGGTGTTGGTGACTAATCGACTGATCTCACTTCCCTTCCGCTCCAAGCACCAGTTCCAGTGGTACGGGGGGAATACCAATGAGATAGTTTGGTTCTCCCTGAAGCACCTACATATTAAAAGAACACTTCCCCCACTATGTGTCTTCTCCCCCACCTCTGGTAAAAAGAGTCCCGGCTAGGCACGGTGGCTCAGGCCTGTAATCCCAGTACTTTGGGAGGCTGAGGCAGGCGGATCACCTGAGATCAGGTCGAGACCAGCCTGGCCAACATGATGAAACACTGTCTCTACTAAAAATACAAAAAAAAATGGTGTAGTGGTGGGCGTCTGTAATCCCAGGTACTTGGGAGGCTGAGGCAGGAGAATTGCTTGAACCCAGGAGTTGGAAGTTGCAGTGAGCCGAGATGGTGCCATTGCAGTCCAGCCTGGGCAACAAGAATGAAACTCCATCCTAAAGAAAAAAAAAGAGTCCCAAGGGGCTGCAGCTGCCAAATCCAATACCCTCTATTTAACCCCTACTCTGTTTTATAAGAGAAATAAAAGAAATCTCAGCAGAGCTCAGGTGCTAACAATTTATCCCTCACCTTGGGGTGCCACCTTATAGATTGGGCTGCTTGAGGGCTGACCTCCCACAAAACTCTCTTAGACAGGTGAATATGCCACTAGAGGTTAGGCTGCTGGTGGACCTGGGGGTCCCTGGGGGAGGGTGATGATTTCTTTACCACCCCACAGGAGATTTCAGTGGCAAGACATTCCTGTAGTGAGCTTTGGGCCATCTATCTTCCTTCCAAGTCCATAGGTCTTCACGTGGGTGGCAGTGAGAGGAAGGAGAAAGTAATGAGCCTCCTGTGTCTCTGGAAGGGTCTAGGGATAGGGCAGAGGGATGAAGAGAACAAACAAGCCTGGCTTGTGCTGATTGTGGTAAGCACTACCCTGTTGGCATGAACAGAAAACAAGGCACCTGTTAGTAGGGAGGCTTTAGGGGCAAGCCCCATGTTGGGGCATTTCTGGGCAGATAGTGAATTGGAGGAATCCCTTTAACTGAAGTACTCTGGCCAGACCCTGCCCTCGTGTGACCATATCTCCTATTGCACCAGCATTTGAATTCCATGAACCTCAAGAGGGTTCTGGTACCATTTATTTGCAGACTGCAGCCTTGAGAGAGCTGCTATAGATGGGAGTGTACCAGCCAACTCCTTGTCCAGTGTCTGTAAGTCACCTCGTTAAAGTATAATTAGCTATCTCCTCTGGGAGATCCTACCTCATCAGACAAGGGCAGTGAGCCCAAGCAGTGCCAGAGGCCCTCAGAAAGGGACTGGGGTAGATGATTGCAACTGAACAGAATCTTCTGACTTTGCCAGGGTGTTTTCGGGGGTTTTGCCCACGATTTCAGTTCCCAGCAATCTGCTTGAGTCAACATATTTGAAGTGGGTAGGCATACTATTACTCTGCAGTCTTGGACATCTACCCCAAACTTCCATGCCATCCTTTGACCCATGGCTGTACCTCTTTTTTTTTTTTTTTGGGCTCTGTTGCCCAGGCTGGAGTGCAATGGCATGATCTTGGCTCACTGCAACCTGTCTCCTGGGTTCAAGTGATTCTCCTGCCTCAGCCTCCTGAGTAGCTGGGATGACAGGTGCCCGCCGCCATGCCTGGCTAAGTTTTGTATTTTTAGTAGAGATAATGTTTCACCATGTTGGCCAGGGTGGTCTCAAACTCTTGGCCTCAGGTGATCCATCTGCCTCAGCCTCCCAAAGTACTGGGATTATAGGCGTGAGTCACTGCACCCAGCCCCACAGCTGCATCTTAACCTTGCCTTTGCCTCTGCCTCTCAAGCTGGCGCCTCCTAATTTACATCCTGAGAGCAGAACCATGTGACAAGGACTGGAGCGCCATTGGCTGCGGGCTGTTCAAGCAGGGAAGTATAGACCACTCTTGTATTCAGGGGCCACCAAAGGAGAGAATCATGTATTTGTTGAGTACAAACTGCATCAAGCACTGGAGACCCATTAGCACCTCGAACCCTCAGTACAGCTCTGCTAGTAAGGGATTCATCTCCCCATATGAAAAAAAGAAGTAATCTCAGAACATTGGCCGGGCATGGTGGCTCACGCCTGTAATCCCTGCACTTTGGGAGGCCGAGGTAAGCAGATCACCTGAGATCAGGAGTTCGAGACCAGCCTGGCCAACATGGTGAAACCTCATCTCTACTAAAAATATAAACAGTTAGCTGGGTGTGGTGGCACACCTGTGATCCCAGTTATGCAGGAGGCTGAGGCAGGAGAATCGCTTGAACTCAGGAGGCGGAGGTTGCAGTGAGCCGAGATCACGCCACTGCACTATAACCTGGGTGAGACGCCATCTAGAAAAAAAAAGTTGGCAGGATGGCCAGACCCAAGTGGGTGTATTAAGCAGTGGGGCTACAATGGGAACCCAAGTGATTAAAACCCTGTGCGGGCCCTTTCCTCTACATTGTACCGCCTCCTTAACAAAGGAACATTGATTAAGCCCCTACTTTGTGCCAGTCTCTGTTTTCAAGTCCTTTCAATGCATTTTCTCTTTTTTGGTTTAAAAAACTCTTTAGTTTCTTAAACAACTAGTTTTTTGTGTCTTGCTAAAACTACACTCTGTCCTTTTGAATAGGCTACAACTTACTTCACACTGTCTCATTTAACTCTCCTGGTATGTAATCGTGTCATATTGAAAAATTCCATACCAGGACAGCTAAGGCCATTTTGTGACCATACAGCATTTTATAATTTAGCATTTAAAATACAGACAGTCCCCAACTTTTGGTGGTTTGATATAGAATTTTTGGTGGAAAAGCAGTATACATTCAGAATGCACCTCTACATATGATGGGGCTACTTCTTGATAAACCCATTGTAATTTTCAACTTAGGGTTCATCAGGAGGTGTCCCCATCTGTAGTGGAGAAGTTCTAGGAGGTAAATATTAGAAGTATCTAAATGGGTAAGAAACAGCATGGGAACATACTTTGGCCAAAATCAAGCAGAACTAAAGTAGTCATGACGGTAAGAGTTTGGCACTGCAGGCCAGGTGTGGTGGCTCTCACTTGTCATCCCAGCACTTTGGGAGGCCGAGGCAGGCAGATCACTTGAGGTCAGGAGTTCAAGACCAGCCTAAGTGATATGGCGAAACCTCGTCTTTACCAAAAAAATACAAAAATTAGGTGGGCATGGTGGCTCATGCGTGTAGTTTCAGCTATCTGGGGCTGAGGCAGGAGGATTTCTTGAGCCTGGGAGGTAGAGGCTTCATTGAGCCGAGATTGCCATTGCACTCCAGCCTGAGCAACAGAGGGAGACTGTCTCAGGGGAAAAAATAAGAAAAAAAGACTATGGGACGCAGATTCTGTACCTACAGCATATCTGTTCTTTTTTTTTTTTTTTTTAAGAAGCAATTTAACTTTTTCCCTTTATTTTTCAAAACAATTAGGGTATAATTTACATATAGTAAAGCTCACTCTTTATAGTTTTAGTTATGTGAGTTTGTACAAACATAATACAGGAGTGACCCTCCGCCACAATAGAAATACAGTTGCATCACCCCCAAAACTCTCTGGGCTCTTTTGTCATCAACTCCTACCCTCAACCCTCAGATTCTGCCAACCACTGATTCATTTTCTACCCCTATAGTTTTGCTTTAGATGAATGTCATCTCGATAGAATCATATAATAAGTAGGCTTATTTTATGCCTTCATGTTGTAAAAATTAGAAACATTTACAGTAAAATTCACTCTGGTGTACAGTTCTGTAAAGCTTTGATAAATGTGTAGAGTTGGGTAACCACCAATGCAACCAAGGTACAGAACAGTCCTCTTAGCCCTTCCCTGTTTCTGCCATGATTGTGAGGCCTCCCCAGCCATTTGGAACTGTGAGTCCATTGAACCGAATTCATTCCTGCTACTTTACAGTCAAAACCTGTCCCCTACACCCAACCCCTAGCAATCACTGTTTTTTATTTTGTTCTTTATTTTTTGTTTTGAGATGAAGTCTAGCTCTGTCACCCCAGGCTGGAGTGCAGTGGCATGATCTCCGCTCACTGCAACCTCTGTCTCCCAAGTTCAAGCGATTCTCCTCCTCAGCCTCCTGCGTAGCTGGGATTACAGGTGCCTGCTACCATGCCCAACTAATTTTTTTTTTTTTTTCCAGACGGAGTTTCGCCCTTGTTACCCAGGCTGGAGTGCAATGGCGCGATCTCGGCTCACCGCAATCTCCGCCTCCTGGGCTCAGGCAATTCTCCTGCCTCAGCCTCCTGAGTAGCTGGGATTACAGGCACGTGCCACCATGCCCAGCTAATTTTTTGCACTTTTAGTAGAGACGGGGTTTCACCATGTTGACCAGGATGGTCTCGATCTCTCGACCTCGTGATCCACCCGCCTCGGCCTCCCAAAGTGCTGGGATTACAGGCTTGAGCCACCGCGCCCGGCTCCAACTAATTTTTGTATGTTTAGTAGAGACAGGGTTTCACCATGTTGGCCAGGCTGGTCTTGAACTCCTGACCTTGTGATCCACCCACCTCGGCCTCCCAAAGTGCTGAGATTATAAGTGTGAGTCACCACACCCAGCCTTTTTCTTTGCTCTTATATTTTTGTCTTTTTTTTTTTTTTTTTTTTTTTGAGACAGAGTCTTGCTCTGTTACCCAAGCCGTGCAGTGGCGCGATCTCGGCTCACTGCAACCTACACCTCTTGGATTCAGGCGATCCTCCTGCCTCAGGCTCTTGAGTAGCTGGGACTACATGCACCCGTCACCACATCTGGCTAATTTTTGTGTTTTCAGTAGAGGTGGAGTTTCACCACGTTGACCAGGCTGGTCTCAAAGTCCTGACCTCAAGTGATCCACTAAACTCGGCCTCCCAAAGTGCTGGGATTATAGGCGTGAGCCACTGTGTCTGGCCATATATTTTTGTCTTTTGAAGAATGTTATATAAGTGAAATTATATGGTATGTAGCATTTAGAGAGCGACTTCTTTTGCTATGAGTAATACATTTGAGATTCATCCATGTTCCTCACTATATCAATAGTTCTTATTTCTGAGTCAC